GTCAAGTGCACCCAGCGCAGATGCGGTAAGATTACGTCCGAATGCAAACGTTTGACGGGAATACGAAGAGCTGCTGCTGACGGAGGACTTGTTTGCATTGGAATGATGGATGTGGTCAATGCAATCAAGGGGGCGGATTATGAAATCGCTCATCATGTCAACAGCGTGATTCACGACAATCATGCTCACTCAGGATCGCTTGCATCCCCGGTCGAGCTAGAAAGGCATGATCTCAAGTCTCTGCTGAGGGATACAGAACGAGCTGATAGGCTTCGACCAATCCATCTCCCGGTTCCGCCCTCTCGTTCTAATTGAAAATCCAAGCTTTATGAAATATGAAGGCGTCTCTTTCGTACCAGTAGGTGGTTCGAGTTAATTGGCCAATTTATTTCCCCCGCCTGGTTATGGAATCCGAGGCAGTAATGGTCCCCACCAGCTGGATATCTCCAAGAACACCACGAACAGGGCATGTAAGGAACCTTCCAACTCGGGCCTCGGGCTATTTGTAGGCCCAGGCTCTTCAACATTTCTTTCTTCACCGTCTCATGCGGTTGCATGGCCTACATATTTTGTTGAACCGCACGCATATTATTCCGCTTTGAATGGATTCAGTCACTCCATCAGTTACGGTCGAATTAAATGTTCAGTGCCTCTCCGATGTGCTTCCTAGATGATCGTCGTTTGTTACGTGTTTCTGGGTCGTAAGTCTCAATGGCGTGAGCTTCGATTCGCGGCAGGGTCTTGTTCATTTTTTCTCCAAGGCATGACGTGCGAGCTCAATAATGGCCCTTGGCCCCAGGACTTGTGGGAGAGAGATTGTCACGAAGCGTTCTTGCCTTCCTCGTCCTAGGTCCTTATATTGCTTCCATACCGCCCCGTTTCAAGGCCGTGACAACATCTTGAAAGGGACATACCGTGCTTCGGATGTCTCAAGTGCCAGGCATAGCCTAGTGACAGAAATCGTGTACAACTATCTCCTTTGTCGTTGGTATGGAGATGTGAAGCACGTGCCATGCTCGGAATGGAAGGGTTTTCTCTTTTGCTTTCTTTCCCTTTTCTTCATATGGGAATGAAGCAATCATGAGGACGATGATGATGATGATGAAACCAAGACTTAGGCACCTGTGTAATGGTCAGAATCCCCTGTAATGGCTGGAGCCCCCTGGTAATGGGCAGGTAATTTGCGGATACGATTTTAATCGGTCGTAAACCACCCGCGGAATGGTGGCTCCGCCTTGCAGCGAGGCCTTTTGTCTTTCAGGGCTGAACCGAATTGTTTCCCAGCCTTGCCGCTTGCTTGAGACTGGGGAGTGGTACTCTCCTATGACCTATGCAGTATGTAATTCCCTCCTTTCCTCCACTTTCCCTTTCGCTGCCTGGGTGGATGACGCCAACTCTTCACTTTCAAGGGAAAAATGCCTCAGGAGGCTTTTCCTCATGGTTTAGAAGTTCAACTCACTTGTTATCCATATGGGAATACGAGATCCTCTGTGGAATCCCTTCAATCTCAATAGAGCACAGCGCAGGCGTATCTCACTTGATAGTATAATATGCGAACGAATTGCTGTATATATAGAGTATTTCATAAGTAATTATTTATAAGCGGAAGATCCTAAAGCCAGCAGTAGAGGTGTACAAAACTTCAACATTTTCTTCAACTACTGTCTTTAGGATTTTGCCAAGTACAAAAATTAAGTTGATAGATGGGTTTAGAAATCTTTTTCTTAGATATTAGCATTCTGACATTGACATTGTTCGATTGAAAACCTAGGAGGGAATAGGTTTTCCGACCGTGGAGAGGTAAATCTTGCCTATCTCGCCCTCTCTTTCCCTCCCTTTAGGCTTTTTTTTTTCTCTCGGGTTGTAGAATAATGGCACCCCATACATGTTTAGTAACATACTATTTGACCGTGCATTGCTGAAGAAGTCTCATCTCCGTGTCCTGTATTCACCTCACGGCTTTCAATTCTATTCCGTTGACAGGAATCGCGAGAGGTCAATCGGATTCATGGTGAATCGGACTCTTTAACTCCCAACAATTGCCAGGTTTGGCCCTGCGTGCGTAGGAGGGACGCAATGAGGGAAAATGCAGGTGGGGGGGGGGGGGGGGGGGGAATGTCCCGGTTGGCCGGCCGCGGGCTCGTGGGTCTGAAGAAGAGTTCCGCTAGGATCGGCCATCGGCGTGCGTGTGTGTGCCCGACCGACGCGGGGACGTGGACGGAGATCATGCCCTGGGGACATTCGGGGAGGGGGAGACAGGAAATTGCTTCATGTCCAACTCCTCACGCCCGTGTCCGACTTTCGCACGCCATCAACAGAAATGACGAATTTTCTCCAATGCCACACGAAACAGCGGTCCTTTCTTATCCCTTACCATCGCGTTTTGTCCTTCGGTGCTGTTCGTGTCGCAAGGTCAGGGTGCACGCAGCTCATTTTCCTTGCGTGAACACATGGGGAAAATGCGTGAAATAGGTCATATGGTCATTGCAAAACAGCAGGACGACGTTTTCGCAGTTGTTTCTGTTTTCTTTGTCTCCGAAAGCTGTCAGCATTTCCTTGATTTATCAAACGAATTTACATGCTTCGAGTAAATAACGCGTGTGAATTTCAAGGATACGAAGGATTTGACTTCATCTAGTCGATGCAAATTTCTTGCATCGTTTGCCAACGGGAAGAATAGCTATTCACAAAACGTATTTGTCACTGAGAAGCAATCATAGCCATGGATTAAGGCACTTGGATGGTCATTCTTCACCCGAACAAAGCGCAGTTAACTTGGAAGTTCCAGTTTGCAGTGAAGAATGTGCTACGCATTCTGGACCATTGTGTACCACTTGCGAATGGACGGGGTCATCAAGCCTTCCTTCCATTCTTTCTTCCTCATGCATTCAGTGATTAGGGATGATCTGTCGTTCATATTCATGAGGAGGATGTTCCTTGTGTGGAGGGGGAACAAAAATTGCGGTACTTAACAGGATGTGATTTATCAATGAGTTGACCCGAGATGCCTCACGCGGCTGGGTGCTGTACGTGGCTCTCATTGTCAGTTGTCGTTGGAGTGATGAAAAAGCGTTCGCACCAGGTGGCGTAGGGTTCGGTAAATATGACGCCCTAGGCGGGCTTCTCCTGGAGTCCAAGATTGATGTGGCCAGCTTCGATTCTTCTTAGTCCTCCTCTTCTTCTTTCCCTCGATCTACAGCATCCCTCGAGTGTATTCCTCGGCATCATTAGGGAAACTGGGTTCAAAGAGGCCCCTTTGGAATGTCTTCGGGGTGAATCAAGGGAGGCATAGAGAGCGGTTAATGAAAAGAAAGGGAGAAAATAATGAAGTTCACTTATGGGAACAATAAAGGGTGGGGGTATCGAAGCTGATGAAGTTGTTTGTGAGGACCGTGCCGGCCCGCTGGTCAAGGCTATTGCATGTCTCTGCATCCTCTTCTAAAACACTCGCCAGATGTGGTGGAAAGGAGACGAACCATTCGTCCCCCTCCTCAATTTTCGCAGGAGGGGATTTTTTTTCCTCCATTTCCTGGGACAATATCCCATATGAGAGTGACCTTCCCAGTTAAAATCCTTCCGTTCCTCAACGCATGTACGCGTGACGCGTAGTTTGCGTTGGTGAAGCGTGGTTCCCCTAGCAATTTGAGTCCCCATCATCGCTGGTCATTTCTCACCGTCTCCCCGTTCCAGGCTCCTGCATTTTCCCCCGACGTTTTCCGCTACCATGCTCCCGTAAATGATCCTCCCCGTCTCCACGTTCTTCGACCGGCTGAAGCTGAGAATTTCTTCTTCCTCCCTCCTCTGGCTCCGGAAGTCCCACATCTCTACTTCCACTGATTGAGATTATTCTGCCAGGAACTGTGATTTCCTCGTCCCTTCTCCCGTCTTTCCTTTCATGGCACGATGATTTCCGTTTTTCGCGACTTGAAACTCTTCGATAACTTCGAATTGTGACTTATGACTCTTGCCGTACATTGATGCGTCTTAATATTTTATATTGTAGAAAGCCGAGTATTGAGGAATTGTACATCAGTTTGCTAGCGTACTTGCCATTACCCTCTAGACTTTTTGTTCAATTCGATCGGATTGACAGAGATTTGTCAATCATTGAACATTGGAGTAGTCTTATTTTTAGACATTACTGGCATGAAAGGCATATGGCGAACTGCATTGTGAATTCCAGTCAGACAGCATGGGGACTGAAGTATTTATTTTTTATACGTCTAGCTACCGTTGTTTCTTTCTTCTTTGACGAGGTATGGAGGTAAGTTTTATTTAAAAATTGATGGTGACGGTTCATGTCACCCTGATGGGATCGCAAGTACCCTTGATGTGAGTTCCTGTGACCCAGATAATGTGATTATGGTTGAGGGTCCCTATTGCATAAGAATCTCTGAATTCCGTTTTTTGTATGGGATGAAACCGCAGAAGAAATGATGACAGGCGAATGTTGGATATACTGTAGGTTGCCGGTGTATGCATAGCAATTTTTTCTTACATCACCCGCCCACAATATTCCAGCGGACTTTCGCCCCATCAACGTCAGGAACTTTAAAAACTTATCTTGTTTGCATCCGTAAGGAGGACTCGAACGAGGAGAGGAGGTCATAGTCGTGGTCCATTTATATGCTAAAATGAATCGCTTTACCGCCGAGCCTATCTGGGAAAACGTGCAATTAAGATTATTAAGGATTTCTGCCGGTTCAGCTTGCGCCCATATATCTCACCATGAGCCGGACATTTCCGCTGTCCACAAACCACACCTGCCTTTATTTTTCCCTTGGTTGGTCTCCCCCTTCTCTTACATTTCCTATCCCCCACCTGCCTTGTCGTCACACCTCAGCAGCTCGCCACGGTTGTCTAAAGCGCCGTTCGATTCGCATGCTCGGAAGAAGGGGGAACATCATAGTAGATTCATCTCTCTGTGCCCTCTCACTGGTGAAAAATATAGCGATGGTGCTCAAATCAATAAAAGAGTCATGAGATTCCTGCCTGAGGTTATGTGCAGCGGTTTTGACGATGGTGGAGAGCGAGGGATCGCGCAGCACTGCGAGACGGGATTCTCGTCTGGCCGAGTGGAAAAATCGGGGGCTGGAGGGGCTGTGGACTGGAGTTTAGCTAGTTCCCTTTCAGACGGTGAGGCTGGCAGGTCGTGTCCGCGCGTGTCTCGTCTTTCGTGGATCTATCCAGTCTCGTTATTGTGCTTGAAGTTCTTCTCCGTTACTCCCGCTTTGACTGCTTGTCCTCAGGAAATGCATTTGCTGTAGGTAAGTTCTAGCCGACTTGGTGAATGTCACCATCTTTTGTTTTTGTTAGTTCGGTGAGGTGATAGCAGTGCTTATGTAGCAGATAGCAGAGTTGTATATATAACCATACAAAACCATGCATAATCTTACTTCTGGCTCACAGGGGGTGATGTAATGTTTTCCTGTCGCATCTTGACTCGGGCTCTTCCGATAGCGATAGTAAATTGACATGGGAGTGCAGTCTGTCTTGAATTAACTTTTATACTCGATTACGCCACCGTTGCCACCGGGAATTGATAGCTCTCGTATATTGCAATGTAATGCCCATCTCGCGCAATTGAGAGCGAAGCAAAGCTTTGGACAAGTCTGTTGCATCTAAGCCTATATGGGACGCCGATGAGCCTTGGGGTATAAGAAAGAACCACTACCGTGCTGACTCCAGCCAAGTGCTGAATCATGTCGAGAAAGCTGAAGCAACTGCCCCATTTCTACTCGCGGTCTTTGATGTTCCTATTTACTATTCATGGAGGAGATTCATTGTCTTGGTACATGTGCAAGATAAGGGAATAAACAAGTTCATTGAACTAGTCCTAGACGCAGTGCCTTGTCGATGCTGCACCGAATTACCATAACTGGTATTTCTTCTGATGTCTCCAGAGGGGGTGTTCTTCGATGGGCTCGCATTAACTATTAAAATCTGTGCGTATGCCTCGAATATATGGACGCGCTATAGGATGAGATGATCGTGCAGAGAATAGCTTGGGTTGAGGCGCAATGAACTAGTACTCCTGGGGGGTGATGATGCTCCGACCACCCAGAGCGAGCAAGGCGAACAATGGCGGGTCAGGTTTGGCCTTGTATATATCGTTCATTGGACGGACATGTGCACGGGAAGGGGGGCCAAGTGAGGTCCTGGAGTTGAACGAATGGGAAGTGTTGCTAACGATCTGCCTGGAATGGAGTTTCACGAGGGAGGAACGTTGTATGGAACATGCCATCACATGAGACGAGGCTTTGTGCTCCACCCGTTCGTAATGTGCTGCTCAAGTGCTAGGTAATGACAACCCTTTGGCATGCTATGGCTTGGGAGGAGACACGACTCGCCTGTATTACTCTCCCATCACTCCCATGCTTCCCTTCTCTCCCCTTGGTGTTATTCGGAGCCGTTTCACTGATATGCCCGTTATTTCTTTTCCGACGGAGCAGTAATTAATAGTCTGTCCTGTTGGCAGAGAAAAGGGCTACTCTCCTTGAAATTGTCCTGGGAGAATGGGAATGGGACATTCTATCCCCCAGGAAATGAATCGCCAGTGCGGGCAATGAAAAATGGATTTTTGGACAGAGACATGTTAGAAGGTGTATGGTCTGGTTCTCAGTGGTCAGTGGTCTGGTCTGGGAGTCCGTGACAGAGGAGAAGAATTCCTTGGGGAATTGACCCGGTGCAGGGTCATAAATGCGGTGCCGGACGGATTGAGCCGAGGCTGTAAAAGTGACAAGTGTTATTGAGACAAATGAGTTCTTCTTGAAGCCGATAACCCTCTAGGCCGGGGTTTTATGACCTCCTTCTCAGATAAGGGAAAGAGTTGCCAGCCTTGCAGCCTTTGTGTGTGCATCCTTCCCTCTCTTACTCTCTATTCCCCCCTCACGAGATGACCCCCGAGGGCTGGAATGGAAAGACATACGTGGATGGTAGGAGGGCATTGCAATCTGGATTTCACTGCATCAAATATTCTTAGAGATGCTCGTAATTCTGCATTAAGAGGATGAGCTTTTTTCACATCAATTGTTCTGGGAAGAAAAATAAAGGTTTTGCGCAAGAGTTGTAAGGCTGGGTTGTAGTGAATAGTGCAGTTACGCCAACGAATGAGGGAGGCCTAATACCATTGTTTCTTTATGAGAAAGGGAGTTCCCCAGAACTTCTCGTAAATGATCTCTGGTGATGTTCCTGTGATGGATGGTGCATGTCCTCAGTGCATCAGGGGCACATCACTTTTTTGGATCCTCTAAAGACCTCCGCCCATTAGCGTGGGTTTTCTTTTTCTTTTTTTCTTTCCTCTGCCCTATCCCAGAATCTACTAGTGTTTTTTTTCCATGGGGTCACTGGGTATCGGTTGCACATATCTCCCTCTCTCCATGGGATTGTTTGGATTGATTGGACCATTTCCACAAGTCATCAGCCTATTCACTTTTATGGACACTGACATATCAAGAAGGCTCCCCTCGCCACAGGGTGTCTAATCCCACGTCCCTGCATTCACTTGGGCCCCTATTGACCAGACCCCTCCCGTGTAAAAGCTTCCACGGAATGATCCCAACTGGTGTGGTCTGGTAAATAGGTGTTCCCTCCTTTCAGCCATTGCCCCCACCCCTCGGTTTCGTTTCACCGCGCCAGGGTCATAGGAGAGAGTGAATCGAGTGTGTCGACTTTAGCGACCTCGTGTCAAAATCAGTCATGAGGTTCGAAATATCCCACTCAACTTCCGTCCATTGTTCTCCCCTTCCGACACTCATCCCGACGCACATGTGTACTGAGATCGAAGACGTGCAAAGTATATTCCCCTTGAGGTGCGAATGATGTTGTCTAGGTGATGACCTTGTATGGTTTCCTCTTTTCCGCTCGCTTTCTTATTGAACCGCGACACACTGGGCAGGATGTTTACATCCTTCCATTCTCGACTTGATCTTTTCCCACGCTCCGTTCTCTTCACGTCCGTATGAGCTTTCCCCCTCTCATCTGGAACGAATAGATCGCCAAGTAAGGGGGAGTTAGGTGAATGTGACCTCATACTGGCTGGCATTCTGAGTCATTCGAGAGAAATCGATTCAGGTAATCAGGTGTGCGAGTCCTGGATCAAGGGAATCGTGCCGTCTGTTGCCATCTGACTTGAGCCGAGATGTGATCACGTTCTTGATAAATTTCGCTGTAATTATTCTGTCGGTTAATGAGGTCGATGAAATGATTGGATAGATTACACCTCAGCCACAGGGTCATATGAAGGGCTGGACGGGAAGGAGACTCCCATCCCCGTGCTATATACTTAGTTCTTTTTTTTTCTTTTGCTATCATGTTTTCTGGTCCCGCAATAGTAATTGCTAGGTTTCGGCTCAGTCCATTCACCATCATTGCGAGTATGACTAGTAGGACTTATTGATCACGCTGAGCCATGCGTTGCACATTGCGCCGGGTCCTCCGTGGCTGCACGAGCTGCCGAGCGCTTGAATGAAGCCATGTCCAGATCCTTTTCACCTGAAACTCCGACGGAAGTCTTGAATTTTATTTATGGTGTGTGTTACAGGTTGAGGAGCAGCCTGAGTACGTGAATAGGCCTATAGGAAGAAGCATCGATTGTCGATCAGGTTCGACGATGGTGCTCGGTGCAGGACATCACGTGAATCACCACCACCACCATCACCATCATCCTCACCCTCATCCACATCCACATCATCACCACATCCATCACAATGCAGTGGCCCCCGCCTTACATCCACAGCAGGGGAAACCCCTGTCCTCGGATTCGGACTATCGGAGCGTCTACTCCAGTAGTAGCAGCCTGTACAGCATCCCCATCTATGGGAGCAGCTCTTCCCAGTGTGCCAATTGTGCCAATCTTCACGCGCTTCCCACCAACACCACCTACTCGGATTCTAGTCAGTACGGAACGCATTCACCGATCGCCTTGATCCGAGACAATCAGTGCATACATAACCATCAGATCGAGTACTTGCCGTATCACAGTGCAGCTCGTTGCGGCTTGGCCAAACAATGCCAGTGCCACAAATACACATGTGATCACGTGCCTACGATTTCCAGTGCCGTAGCCCGGAACCAGTGTGGACAACGGACTCAAGCGACATTGGAAGGAAAGGTGAAGCCGGCAGCAGATATGGGACCTGGCACTCCGGTGGCCGTCAAATTGAAGAGGTCCAACCCTTTTCTGCGCTTTTGGAAGACTCGCGTAATGAAGGGGGAGAATGCGAAGCGACGGGGTGCCGCCCTTCTTTGCGCATTGCTCACCGTTGCCCTACTTGTCCTCGCTGGATGTGGCGTCGTCTTGTACTTGACAGTCGGAGGTGGTCTTGACGCTTTCGGAGCCAAGGCCCTCGAACCGGCACACGTTCAAGGTGAGATAATCTGTGTCTTCTCATAGAAAGTACCTCACTTATATTGAGGCATTTACCGAGAATCTCTGATTCTGACAAAGGGTGATGAGTTGTGAATGGTGTTCGCAAAGCTTGATCAGGAGAAAGCCCCATTTTGCTAAACACCATGAATTCAGGAAAAATCGCCATATATTATGATTGTCGTCCCGCTTTTTGTACCAATAAAACTCAATTTGACCAGAGAAAAGCGTGGAGTTTCCAGTTGCTGAAGATGAGCGCATTTTTTCGTATTCTAGCTGAATTCTACCTTTTCCACAGAGAGTAACAATTACGACCCAAGTTTTCCACTCTTTTCGCTCTGATCGGTAAAGCATTAAAATAGTTTCTTCAATACGCGTGTGATATTGGAAACTACCATTTATAGTGTTTAGGAGAGTGAGAGCCGCGGCCCCTATACCTAATCTCTACTTCGTCTGCCTGGCTTCATGATGATGGCGTCTACATAATGTGATCGGCTTATCATTTGAGTATTTTTTTCTTTTGTAGAGCTGAACACGCTGGTTTCTCAGTTCCGCATCACCAACCAGCCATACATACCTGAATTCAACGATACGAATTCTCCAGAATTTATTCGAATGGCGACGGAAATCACAGCTCGGGTGAGTTTTTTTCTTTACTCTTTTTTTTTTGTCCTTTTCTGACTGGCATGTTACTATCCAGCTGGCGTTAAAATAGACCTGGTAAACGAGACAGAAGCTTGTTCTTATCCCTTGTGATGGATTTTGGGAGGCCATTCGAAAAATGAAGAACGAGGGGTGGTAATGAGACTGTGTTTCCAAGGAAATGGGGCCCCTAATTAACTAAAGACTCCACATATCTTGTTTCAGCCTCTCAGGGTCAGGCTAAAATTGACAGTAATGTTCAACACCTAACTCATGGTAGCGTCGCAGGATATTTTCGTCGCTGCTCAAATTACGTGTACCCCCGTCGCTCATTTGCGCGAGAATTGACGACAAAATTCAGTGCTGTGACACTCTTGTCTATGGATTAGGCCATGAGACGGGTTCTTAACTGGTTTGCGCTTTCCAGTGCTCCAATGCATATCACTTGGAAGGAACAAGCCTTGCTTGATCCCCATCTCTTTGAAAAGAGGGCGTATTTTTAGCTTTTCCGCTCATTCAGTCACGATCTTGGGCGTGCCGAACGGAGAGCGAGAGACGTCGTTGAAAAGAAGGAAGGGGAATCCTTCCTTGACATGCGCGATCGAATAGATGATTTTTTTTTCTCACCTCCCTAGACAATAGGAAATGGAGGGTGAAATGAGGGACGGTTATTTGAAACGGGATCTGAGAATTGGAAGGGAAGAAGGGCCGGGGAAACCAAGACAAGACCATGGAGGCGTGAGAGAGGAACATGGTCTTTGTGTCACTCTCTGTTTACAAGTGTCATCCATGCCGCATTCCCTTGTCACTTTTTTCCCCCCCTTCCCTATTCAGGGGATTTAGTCACGGAGACCAACAACCTCCTCTTACCTTCTTGCACCTACCCACTCGACATGCACCTGCAGTATGGGTAACGTTAATGGGGTCTGCTTCATAGAGGAAGGGAGAGAGAGAAAGAAAACGTTTCGCTTCCTGGGGAATGAAAGGAGGCTGCTGTGTTTGACGTCTTGCTGGAAGATGAGTCCGTCACATTCGTCACTCATTCAGTCATGTGGCTACCATCAGAGTCATACGGAGAGGGGAAGCCAGGAAGGAAACAACATCTGGCGGCGCAGCAGAGAGACCTCACTCTTGGGGTAACCTAAGCCTAGTGCTTACTGCATATCCCAGCCACCATAACATGATCAGGAAAAGACACCCCTCGATCCGCACCTGGCTTTCGCCCGAGCTTAGCTCCGCCAGGCAACCGAGCATGAGAACATTGAGAGGGACCAAACAAGTCTCCCCCCTCGTCCCATTAAAAAGAAGTCGCTGGTGGAACAGGCTCCGAAACCACCCACCTCGGATTTTTTAGCAGGATATCATTTTTATCTCTTGGTGTTCCATCTTATAAACATTGTCTCTTGAATAGAGAGTGAGTGAGCTTTCTTAATGAGACAGTTTGAGATTCCGTCCTGCGCTTCTAAGTTCTGTTTACTGCGATTGTCTGTTGGGAGGCAAGTATTATCGGCGAGTCTGTGATAGGAAAGGGAAAATGAAGAACCGTAGGCCGGAGAGATGAGGACGGATTTCCATCGAGTGAAGCCCTAAGGGCATCAGATGATGGAGCGTCCTATTTGCGTAAACGATAGGGGCGGGTACTTGGATAAAAGGGGCCAAGACCTTCTGACAAGTTTCTCTCCCTTCACCCCCCCCCCCCCCCTCCCCCAACCTTGATCTCATCTGAACGAAACCAGACTTTGAATTCTTGATGAATACCTTGGGACTCGGAACAGTCTCAGAACGGTCTTGTTGGAGTCGTATAAATCCCTGGGGACAGCGCGCAAGTGAAGTCCCGTTATGAGTGCATTTGCTAAGCACCGACGGAGCCATGCCTGGGGTTCCTTTTTTTGTTACCTCTTCGTTTTCTTTTCTTGCGTGTACTGGCTCTGCATTGCCCAGAGGCTTCCATTGTCTAACGATTGATGGATCGGGTCAAGTGGTCGTCCCGTATTGGTACGTAACTGCTCTTCTGTCTAGCTTTCAGCGGGTGGTTGTGGTGCATCCAATGAATTTGAAGGAACAGTAAAAAAAAGACATCCAACACGGCTTTGTTCCTCATCATGCATGAGCATTCAACCGATAGAGAGGGGAGCAGAGGAGGCAAGCTGTTGCGGATTTCCCAGTCTTATTTGTATTCGGATAGAGGAGGCGAGGGCATTGTTTTCTTCGTCGGCCTCCCCCCTCACCCAACCTCATCCTTGTTTTCTTTTCTTCTTTTGTCCCTGGCCCTTCTCATCGGTTTGGTTCTGGACTCGAGGCTTCTCGACTGCCAATGATTGTGAAGCTGATTTTCTTCACGTTTTGTTGATTATCTGCGGCGCGGTGCTATACGGAACGAGACAGGAAATTGAGCATGGCAGTCTTGAAGTCGGTCGCATGCCACAGGTCATACAAGTTGTACATCCTTGGCCCTGGGAGATCAGGGTACATGGGATGGGATTCCCATATTAGAATTATCATTACGACATATCCGCAGGGAAGGAATGCTTCTTCCACTACGGCCGTGACAGCATGGGGAGGGTCAGGTAATTAAAAAGCCACTCGCCCTATCTTCCCTCTACACTAATTGGCCGCCTTCCTCTTGTTTATACCTTTGTTTGCCTATCCCCTACCTCACGGAGGACTGCTCAAGCCTGTTCCATTCCCGGAATGCATTTCATGACCGCATTTATGTGCAACTACGTAAATGTGCAGAGGACATGACTGCGGCGGGAGGATTGAACTAGCACCGTAATACGTGAAGGTAGAGGAAGGGAGAATTCAGGGCGTGAAGAGGGCATGTCAGGGTGGAAAGTGGTGGATGACTCTTCTTCCGGGTCGAAAGGGTCTCGCAATATGATGCAAGGGATGGCGGCTAACTCATAAATCCTCGCGCCCTCTCTCCCTCTAGGTCTAGATCATGTAATGATCCGGCAAGCACAGGAGAGTCAGCTCTCCGGTGTTATCATCTCTTAGCAAGGGAAGGAGAGAGAGCCCTTTCTAATCACAGGCCTCCCTCCATGCACATAAATCACAGACCAATCCCGAACGAGATGAAAATGATCCATCCTCTTGTGCCTCACGCTCGGCTTACCTTTTTACTTATGTATCTGGGACATGGCCCACTCCTTCCTCAACCGGGATATCGAGTCGTATTAACCCGGCGTTGCTGAAGACGAAAGTTTCATTTTGTTTCTCCCCCGCTTTGCAGCTCGATGAACTGATCGGAAAAAGCAGTCTCCATGAAGAATATCATCATTCGGAGGTTTATGCACTCTCACCCGGAAGCGTGATCGCCCAGTGTCGCCTTTACATGAGCAGTTACGATCCTCGAGCAGCTGAGAAATACGGCCTCACCTTCATCAATGCCCTCCACAATCGACACGGGAAAATGTGGCTGGGTCCGTTTGCCGTGGATATTCAGTCCATCATGTTTACCGGTGAGACACCAGTTCATATATACGTGTATGTTTGGTGGTTGCATGGCACAAATTTGAGTTTCTGGCATTGCAGAAGAAGTTGGGGGGCCGTTGGCGACGGAGGCTTCGAACATCTCCAAGTCCTCGTTGGTGGATGCCATCTCTGTACCCCCTCCACCGGCACCCCCTGCTATCCCTCCAGGTGAGAAAGAGCTTCCTCCTCTTTTTTTAATTTTTATTCCGGCTCGGTCACAAGACGTTTGATGTCCATCGCAGTTGGCTGGGGGGAATGGGGTTCCTGGTCACGGTGCACCCAGAACCCTTGCAATCCCAGGGAGACCCAGTTTCGAACCAGGGACTGTCGGACAGATCGGGGAAAGGGTCGGCTTCTTTTGAACTCAGAACCTTGTCTTCCATTGGGTGGACAGGATGTGCAAGTCAGAGACTGTCCCTGTCCATCGACTTCCACTACCTCTACCACCACTACCACCTCCCCCTCCAGCACGACAACTCTTCCAACTACAATAAAACCTTCCTCACCTAGTTCATCGCCCGCGTCCTCCACAAGGGCTTCAGCAGGGCCAGAGACTGCAACAGCGAAGGCCATCTTATTGAGGTCTTCATCAACCACTGTCAGATACCCTCAGGGTTGGTACTCATTATGGTCTCATTCTAGCATATCTGTTTCGTTGAATGCAGAAGTATGCACTGAATTAATGTGTTCGTAACTTATGCTGTCGTTATCCCGCAGATACGGAGAAGGGAAAGAACTGCCAAGCTTGCTCAGGTAGTGAGGTGTGTGTGGCACTGAATGGGGAGTCCCAGGCGTCTTGTCATGTCATGGTAGATCCACGGGACCCAACTGGATGTGGTGGACTGTGTCACCTCGACACAGAAATGTGCCTCCCACTTGCCCCCAATGTCTACAAGTGAGTGAACAAAAATTATGGCATTCCAATAACCTTTTACAGGTGATGGAAACCACCCAAAGTAAGCCCCACTTTGATATGGATCTAATCAGATGGAAGTGAGATAACACGGTGTAAGTGATTTGCAGACTAGTCCCATATCAGGATTCTTGTGGATCTTCATACGGTGTGGTCCTATAATCTTATTTCATATATCTTAAACATCCAAACCCCCCCACTCATGCCTCTAGTTCTGAAAATGCAATTTTACTTTCTTGGCTTGCACTTATTAGTCTGCAAGTAGTGGGATGAAGAATACTAAGTAAAAAAAATGGACTTGACTGTTTTCATCCTTTCATGCTTTTGATTGCTCTGCAGTAATGTGATATTGTCATCTTCCAGGTGTGCAGATGCTTCCATTTGCCTCCAAGATGAGTGGCAGTGCCAGAATGGACTTTGCATCCCTGGAGAGAAACGATGTGATGGTCACTTCAATTGTTATGATCATACAGATGAATTCAATTGCAGTTAGTATCTCCTTTCAGTTTCCTATCTTGATTTATATGTTGTATCCATATTCAGTCCTCTCTTGGTCTCTATAGAATGTGACGAAACGGAGTTCCATTGTGGAAATCAGACTTCTTGTCTTCCTCTTGAGAAGAAGTGCAATGGAGTCGTTGATTGCTGGGATGGCTTGGATGAAATGAACTGCACTGAATGTGAGAAACACCTCCTTCCAAGTCAATTGGCTACACCAATAGTGCAAAAAACAATGTATATTCCATTAACAAATGATCATTACATGCATAGACATACAAGTCTAGTCTCTTCCAGGAGTACCATCTATGCCCAATTTTGACACAAAAGGGTTAAGAGCATGTTCAGTGAGTCCCATGAAAAGGTTCATAGAGTTTGAAACTAGTCAAGGTAGAGGAGGAAGAACAGGTTCTGTCCCTTGATCTCTCTGCCACATTTCTGCCTAATCAGAGGAAATCTCAAATTAATAGACAGGCCTGCTCATTTGATTGATGAGTGAGGCTAGATGGAAGAGACCGAAAGGAACTGGTTTTGGGTTATTATCATGGTAGCCTTGGCATGTCCTCTATCTCCTCTGCCCACTCTGCAGAATCTTACCAATTTCAATCCGGATTAACTACAGACCATGACTGAATGGTTTATCCATAAGTGGGGTGACAGGGCTGTACCCTAGCCCACACTTTGATTCAATTGGCTATATTTCAATCCCAGGTCAACATATTGCATGCTACAGCATTGGTGGCCTAGTTCAAGTTTTATATTCTCATGCTGCATCAGCCACATTCACAAATTGAGGGTCTCCAAAAGGATTGTCATCAGATGGAATCCAATAGGCTAGGAAAGCTCTGTAAACTTATGTACAAGATTCATGGGAAAGGAACTGCCAGTACTTGGAAAACATTCTCCTGTTATTGAGTGCTATTGTACATTTGTTTTCTGAGACCCATTGCTTTTGCTTAATTATGGTATCTCACTGAACTTGGTTTTTATCTTTTTTTCAGTGTGTCCTCCATCCCTTTACACATGCACCAATGGTCAGTGCATAGCAAAGAACTACTTCTGCGATGGCTTCCCAGATTGCTCAGATGAAAGTGACGAGCCAATTGGTTGTGGGGGAGAGTGCAAGAGAGACGAGTGGCGATGCAGGTAGAGTACTTTACTGTGCTTTGGGATATAAGCATATTGAAGGAGAGGCATAAATGCTGACCTGATTAAGATACATGTATTTTTCACTACATTTACATGCTTCTCTTCCTGTTTTAGAAATGGTCGCTGTGTGAAGAACTATACTGTATGTGATGGTCTGGATAGTTGTGGTGATGGAAGTGATGAATTGGATTGCCCTGAACCTGTTGATGTTGCAAGTCCTCCAGTATCCATCTCCAGAGGAGCAGGTAAGGAAGTTGGAATGTCCCATGCTTATTTATGAAGCTGTATGTATGGGTACTGCCTTTCCTATGCAAGCAATAGTGGTGGGAATAAGGTCCACATATGAAACTTGTTAAAACTAGTCGGTTGTCCATGTTAACTTTTCTTTCAGTTGTGGTTCAGTTCCATTTTAGCAAAATATTATGAGAAGCTTAAATATGTAACTACCTCTCATTTCATGGATGACTTCAATCCTGTTCTTTTACTTGTAGAACACATAATTTTATTGCTTTTCAGCCCACTTTCTATTATTTAAGTAGCACTTTACATGAAGCAATTTGATACATTCAATGAAATATTATTGATAAGAACATTCATGCTATTGCACCTGGGATGATACATTTCTGCTTCTGTGCAGGATGGTTTCCCCTCTACTTAGATTTGAGTTGTGATGCATCTGGGTGGTTGTGAATTCAAAGTTCAGCTTTAGTGTGACTTTTATAACATTCTAGTCAATCCTTAGTTTCTTGGGCATATATGCCATCAACTGAAGCCAAATCTGAACCACACATCTATTTGGATTTTGAAATTAATTTCCTAGCTGGTTTTGATTTGATGAGGGTTTTGGCTGTTGTCAAACTATAGTTCCATGGACAACTGAGCCAATCTTTTTCCTCTAATGTCATGACTGGGATTTCTGTGATAGTGGCTCATCCAGGGTCTCTCATTCATCTGTTCATCAACAAAATTGAAATGTCTTTCTGTCTGCTACTGAATAAACAGGTTTCGATTTGCTAGTTCAGCCTTGATTGTGATTTAGCTTATGTCCTTGCATTGTTTTCCCCTCTCCTGTCTCTGTGTGTCTTGTGAAATAATTTCCATATAGGGAACAGAAACCAGTCAAATCATAGTCTGACTAAAGGAACTAATAGTCCACCCAGACAAATGCAATTGCAATTTGGTTAGACAATGTTTCTCGTGTCCTCATGTCAACAAAAATAGAAATAAGGATTGCAATGGAGACTGAACTAACTACAACCAAGCCCATGAATTCAAAACCAGCATATGGTGTTGAATGGATATGGTCTAGAAGTAATTTTTGTTCATTTCCAGGTTGTGGAATAGGAGAGTTCCAATGTGCAAATGGAAAATGCATCACATCAGGATTGTGCAATGGTGTCGATGACTGTGGGGACAATTCAGATGAGATTAGGTGCCAGAAGGAACTGAAGATCAACATACCTGATGCCACTCGTCTCTTGAGTTAATGAAGGTGCCATTGGTTCCCATCTTGCATCTATGATAAGATTCTATTCGTGATATCTGACTATTTGAGCGATCTCAAAATTTAATTTGTTTTTGGAGGAGTATCGACTTGACGCACCTGGTTGTGTTGTTTGTTTTGTTGGGTTTGCCTTCTGTGCAACTTGTTCACGCTTATTCAACTGGAATGTGGGATATGTTGGGAACCAAAGTCAGACAGGTGACAAGAGTCTCACTGTGATCTTCAATTTCTATCCTCTATGACGTATGCTGTGGTTCCAAGTTCCTTTTTTTTTATACATATGATGTGGCCAGGATTGGCTCCAAGAGTATCAGAGCTATGTTGTGTGATGAGACAAGATAGGAAGAGAGAGCATACAGAAGCCATGGGAGGATGGTGAGTATTCTCCCCATGCTAGTCAGGAGTGTGGATTGTCTTTTTTTTTCCCTTGCCTTTTGTTGTGCACCATCATGTACGATAAATTATTCAATCAGTGCCTTCATGCTCTCTAAAGCCCGTCCCTGTCGTATGCCTTCTTCCAGTGTAGAAATCCCAGTAATAAAATTCATCAACGAATGTCTCGGTGGTAGTTTTGCCTGTTTTGACACTCCGGAAATGAAACACCCAAGAAAATGGGATCAAGCGAGAGGGGACTAGAGTGGTCGCCTTCTTCCTATGCTGCATTTAAGTGAAAATGTGATTTTTGAGGAGACTTTTAAAATAGATTCCTATTAAACGTGAACTATGACAATGCACTAAGCGGCTGAAGTCAGTTGCGCGGCGTTTTAAGATGGCAACCTCAACGCTGCAGGGTTCTATACCCATCTCTCACCACACTGGACTAGTGGCGGATGTTACTGAGATTCTATCTCATCCTCATCCCGTGGGACACCGAGTGGCCTAAGTCCGAACTAAAGCAGTCGACTAAACTGACGACTCAGAAGAAAAAAGCCGGTCGGATCCGAAGCTGGACCTCCCAGGTGCTAACCTGTGCCGTAACCGCTGAGCGTCGCGGTACACGTATTTTTCGAAGAAACAAAAGAAATGCTAGTCTTTGTACTTGCTTGGAAGTAATGTTAATTTATTGGAGACCTTGCGTCATTCGTTGGTGTCGGCTCGAGGTTTCAAAGTATAATGTATGGAGATTACATTCATAAGATGCCACTGAAGTATCGCATTTTGGCTTACCTAATTTGAGAGGAATCGTCAGAGATCAACTTGGGAAGGGAGACACATGGAGTCTATGTGCATGTCACCCTATTTTTCGAGTTTGAGTTAAGTTAAATATAAACTTGAAAAAGAGGAGTAGCTTTCTATGCACATGCACTAATTATAACTCACGAAAAACGTCCCCACTACAAATTCCTCGGACTTCTGTCCGAGGAATTTCCCACTTGAAAGCGGTGAGTGATAAATAATAAAAAAAATTATTATTATATTCGGGGTGCCGTGGAAACGTGCAATGTACCACTTCCCAAGAAGCTCGAGTTTTAAACGGTTCACAGACGAGATTCAAGGTCAGGTCGATCGTCAGAACCAGTTGACCTGGCGAAAATGACTTAAATGGTTCAGTAAGCGATATCCATTCTCAACGGGCTCACAAATAAGCCACTATCTGATCTCCCTGGAGGAATTTTTGCACCTTGGCACCTCTCTTTATCTGAAGAGTCCTTTTTTTTTCCTTCCTTTTTTTTTTTTTTTTTTTTTTTAAAGAAAAGCGGTTCCTGAAAAACTTCTCGCATGCACTACGAAGACTCAATACATGATCTCCATGAGAATTTATATCTGATATCAGTACATAGTTGAGTTACAGAACCAGTCCCGTTCATTTTGATCACCCCTTGTATTCTGAGCCCATCCCACGAGTGATTCCATAATTAGGGTATGGGCTATAAATAAAAAAAAAGCGGTATGGGTTAGGAAAAAAACTTTTAACATATACATGGTAACACAAATCAAAAAAAAGGTTTTTAACTTGGATGTCTCCGCTCACATTGGCGCTATTTTCGCAAAACTTTCACCGTACAAATATGGGTATGTTTCCAACTGATTCTCAGAATTTGGTAAGAGTTGGTTGTCCCGAAACAATACTACGAGCAATTATTGAAACGGAGTCAAATATTGAGAATGGACAGCGGATCGGAGGAAACACTCCCGCACCGCACTGTCCTTCCTTGCTCACCGAGACTGTGTTCAACTCCTCTTTTGATTCGTTCTTTGGGCTGGTCGTCTCTTGAAGGTGACTTTCGCGAGCGCATTCCCGGTGGAAAGTGGACGAATCGACAAGTATTAGTGTTTTCTGGAAATTCATTCAGAATTTCCCTTATTTTACGACGGAGACAGACGGGGAGTAAAGGGAATGGCAGAGAAAATAATTGACTTTCGGTGTTTATTTAAGGACTTGCCAAATTTGGTTAGAATATGGAATGTCTCCTTTTCTTTCATACCGAATACAAAATTTCCCAAATTCTTCTGATAAAAAATCCTCCTACGAGAACAAAGGGGGGGGGGGGAATCTAAAGAACATAACGCAAGCGTTATTTCTCCGTTAAAACTCTGGAGGCCTACTTTTATTGCTGTCACCTGAGGTGTGGCAGTCATTTTGAAGGATTCGGCTTAAGGACCCTCGTTTGTGGAAGCGAACCGCTGACAATGTTCGATTACAGTGCCGACAGGCGCAGGGAAGAGACGAGCACTTTGGCTATTCCTCTTCCTTTCCTCCCCCCCATACATTGTGCTTTTTTTTTTTTTACATACTTGTTCGTTGAGTGCTTGTTCCGTTATCGTCGTCCCTAATTGGAATATTATACTAACCTGCTTCGTGTCTGGCTTTGGCGAGGCAATTCGACCGTAGCCGCGTTTCGCACACATTAGCATTCTTAATAACGACTTGCGAATACGTGCGAAGAGCGACTTGCTTGCCAAGTCCAATAGCTACTGTAAGCGGGGAAGAGGCCTGAGCAATCGTCCAAGGGTTGGATATAAGCTTGCTAAATCATTCCCATCAGGGTAAGTACAGCCAATGTCGAACTGTATCTGTAGTATGCAAGGCAACAGCTATTTATTTTCCATCCCGTTTTCTTTGAGGAGGAGTGTGCATGAGAGCAGAATTGGCCTAAGCGTCTATCCATGGCGTATGCCAAGGCCTGCGAAATTTGTCCCCCCCCCCCAAAGTTTGAATTCCTTGAGTGAACAACGTAGCATTAACACACACTTCCTTCAACGGCTGAGGAGGAAGGGACGTGTTCATGAGAATGGCGTAAGCCTACATCTCCATGGGGGGGGGGGGGGCTAGGCAGCAGACACATGAAGGTCGTGGCCTCAAGCACCAGGGCCATAGGTCCACTGATTTTTCATGCACTTTCTACATTTTCAAGTTGATTTCATAACTCCAACCCCCCCCCCCCCTACCTTCCCTCATCCTTATACAAACATTTTCGCCGGAAAAGTCGAAAGTCGTTTCGAATTCACTGTAACCAAATCAAGAAGCGAAAAAAAAAGTTCAGTTGAATTGGACCATGCACGCTCCCTGTGTAGGTCATACTTAGATCGAATGAAACAGTGTGCTTCCGGACAAGGCTCTTTCCACACGCGACATCGACGAAAGCGAAAATCGCGTCTCCACATCACGGGAATCGATAGAATTCTTGCTTCCGAGATCTTCTGGGAAAGAGGAAGCAGGATCGGCCCGGGGGAAAGGCAGGACCTTCCGCCTCCTCCCCGTCCTCGAGGGTCACGGCCGGGAGGTTCCGTCCCCAGAGCGGGAGGATCCAATGCCTCATCCCGACGAAGCAGACGAACACCATCGCGGGGACGAGGACGCTCAAGCCCAGCACGAGCGGCAGCACGTGTTTCTTCTTCAGGGCGCGGCTCGCTCTGAAGGGAACAGGTTCGGCGTTTCGCAGGTTATTTCCTTTTAAGAGCCTGTATGTTTTCAAGCATTTGAGTAACGATGTCTCGTAGCGCAACTCGATGCGACGCGTCTACATTTAATTGATTTGGATATTTCGTCGATCGGGCTTCTTTCAGTGAGCTTGTATTCTATATTTCAACACGACTCAAGCATCCAATCGTCCTCTCCTGTCTTAAGAAGGAATTTAACGGACGTTTTAGAGTTTTTATTTGTTTAATCGATTAGAGTTTTAATTGCAGAGGAAAGAAAAGCGCAAACGAGCTTAATCAAGTTAATCAAATAACAAATCTCCCCTTGAATATATCCTTCTCTATCATCCTATGAATATAATCCTCTCCAGACCAAGTGAAAAATGGCTGTCTCTTTGCAAGCAAAAACAAAAAAAAATTAAATCGAATATCGATTTTACAGGACGGAGTGAAATGACAGTATCTAACGTTACGTACAAAGCTCTTGTGATGCCATCACATTCAGATATTACGATACTATGCTAGATTTAGAGAGAGAGAGAGAGAGAACTGCCAGATATTAATCACTTTGACGTCTGCGAATTGGTCTTAGTCGATGTACCCTAGAAGTAATGCCAAGCAATTCGTTAATAGTGATAATGATCTTTGGGTATCGGATGAGTTTTCGGTGCAGACCTGCCGAAGAACCCCACGTGACGCGAGACGAAATGATTCCTATACTCGGGCAAGGAGCAAAGGAAGCCGAGGACGACGTCGTCCCCGAGGAGTAACCCGGCCCAGGTCTCCAGGATCTCCCGGCTGGTTTCCGGGAGGCATTCCCAGTTGTCGGCCGTCTTGCGCAGGAGACGCGGCAGCTCGTCGTCGTCGTATCTCGTCTGACACATGAAAGGGTTTCATCGGAGGGGGGCGGGGAGTGGTGGGCAATCGCGACCGTCCTGGGGCTCCATGGCGTTCGTCGTGCTTTTCGTGGGGGCTAGTCCTGTTCCGTGGTGTCCGAGCGACGCTCTTATTGTTCCATGCCGTCTTGGAATGATTCGGGCGTTCGAGCAGGAATTCTTGACTCTTCCGGAAGCCAGACAATCGCTTCGGTGTTACTTCGGTGTTACTTAAAGTCAAGGGGTGTTCAGCTCCGATCGCTGTTAGTCCGCCTTGATTGCTAAGGCCCTAAACTTTAAGGATTTTTAGCTGAACCCGTTCACATCACGAGACGACTGGTCCCACGGAACCAACGACTCACGAGTGAATGCTCACGCGAGCGAGTTGTCGCACAGAGCACTCGGCGAAACCATTCTTCGTGGACGCACTCACCAGCCAAATACACGTTGGAATCAGTCGATAGGAATCCATTTTGTGGCTGATGTGGCATCGCCACAGACGAACGATTTCGTCGGTCCCTTTCCAATTTTGGTGGAAGCGATGAAGCTGCGCACCCCCTGCTTGAGTCGCTTCAAGTCCATTCCATTCGGACGATCGAGAAGGAAAACGCCCGTGTTTGTGCAAGACAAGAAAGCTTTCTTTTATTTGGATATAGGCCACGTGCATTGCCATCCAAGTCCTTGTGCCGAACTGGAAGGAGTTCTCATAAGAGTTAAAAGAAGTCTAGAGTTTCTCTAATTTATTTCTATAACAACACGAAGAGGTGGGATTATAGACAGTGCCCTACTACTGCCAGCACCCTATAGATGAGACAGAAGATGAGACAGGTCGCGAGAAAAAAATATCTGAATAGAGTTGAATAGTGGGATAATGAATGCACAGAAAGAATCAGGGAAACGTCATCAAAGAGGAGGGTATTCGCGCACTTCCAACAGTTTTGGCTTGTCCAGATCCCCAGCGCAGTAAATAATTAATCTATGTATCTGTATGTTGGAAAGATACTGAGCAGTGTCTTCATGCAGGAGCAGAGGGCCCTTGGGAGTGCAAGTGACAAGGATCGAGTAAAGCCGTGAGGAAGGGTCGATGAGTATGCGATCCAGGTACCTGCCGTCGTCGTAGTCATCATTCCATTTGCCTGAAGGACGTAATAGCACCATTATGAATGTAGCGAGGAAAATTCTGTCATGGACATAGGGGAGGGAAGGGGGGGGGGGAATGGAGAACTTGGCAGTGCAGAGTGAAACTCCAGTGGAACTCCGACAAGTTTAGAGTAGTTTAGTATACAAGTGAAAATAACATTCTTTAGGGGGTATTTTAATTATTTTAAAGTTATTGTTTATGGTGGAAGTTCCTTCAGTTTCATTACATGCAAAACCGTGCGAGGACGAAGTCCAACTTCCAAGCAGTGGCAACGAAAGAAACTATCTGTCATGAGTGCTACTGTTACAGAGTTACAATTATTTTTGTGGAGGTAACTGCATGGCGCAAATGTCAGGAATGCTCATTCACCTGTACTGTAACTATGTGGTTGGCGCTGGCGTGGTCGTCGTCGTCGTCGTCCCGCTGGTGGTGGATGTTGACTGCGTAGAGGTGGTCGTCGAGGCGGTAGAGGTGGATGTTGTCGACTGAGTTGTATCAGTGGTGCCAGTCGTCGTTGGTTGGGTGGTCGTGGTAGTACCGGTTGTCGTTGTCGTTGGCTGGGTGGTCGTGGTGGTACCGGTTGTTGTTGGTTGGGTGGTCGTGGTAGTACCGGTTGTTGTTGTCGTTGGTTGGGTGGTCGTGGTGGTACCGGTTGTTGTTGGTTGGGTGGTCGAAGTGGTACTGGTTGTTGTTGGTTTAGTCGTGGTGGTGGTGGTGGTAGTGGTGGTGGTCGTGGTCGTCGTAGTTATCACGACACCTGGTCAAGTGGAAGTTAACGTTCCAGACATCCTCGCTTCCAGGAATGTTTTCAAGAGGGAACAGAACGACATACATTTGCTGTTGATGGAATCATAGGTGTAGTTGGCGGGACAGACGCAGATACCGTTGGTGCAGACCGTTCCAGCGTTTGATGCTGTGCACTGTTCCGCCGCCTCACAAGCCTCTCCGTATCGTCGAACTGAAGTGAAATTATGGCGATTTCCAGTTCCTTCATTCAAGATTTCGAATCCATAAATCATGTTTTTATTTTATTTTATGGTACCGCAAGAAGCAGAGCAGTAGCCATTGGTGGTGCACGCAGCCGTGTTCATCAGATCAACAGACGCTACCTAGAAGAAAATGACAGAACGGTTATACCAAGATGATAAAGTAAGGACAAAAAGAAAATTGTTAAAATATTAGACTCCGCTCACGGATACCTGTCCGGACTTGAAGCCGACGTCGCAGTAGCTCCAGCTGGGATCAGAGGTCAGACCCAGGGTATTATTCAGATTGCAAAACGCCTGTGGCAACAACTCGCACGTGTTCGTCGTCACCTAAAGGGATAACAACCTGCTTTCGAAGGGATCTCCATTGAGGACAATGGGAAACTTGCACCAGATCGGATTAGATGAATTTGATCTAATTCCCCGATGAAATTCTGTGATAATGTGGTGGTTCCCAGAGAACCCGTTCCGAAATCGTAGCAAAGGATGAGTATCTATAATGGAGGATTTTTTGCATAAAATCCATGCTTTTCGTCTCTGTAAGACCTTGTTCATACGGCATGAATGAGTCGTAGATCATCATTTACTGATCTAATGTATTCAATGCCAGGGGCAAGATGTCGAAACACCTGATCCCTGCAATTTGCTCAGAAGTCATAGATTCTTTCCATCGCGTTGGCCTTCAGAACCATTTTTTATTAGAGGACCACCTACATGGAGAATGTAGACTCGGAATGTGGCTCGGTGACCCTTGGGATGCTACTATGCGAGGGGTCGAACCATATTGCAGTAGTTGAGGCACATTCGATTGGTGAGTAGAGTTCCTAATCTGGATTAACCCGTCTTGGAATTCCAATCTAACAGAAGGAAGTGGAATTCAGTAGAATTCCCCATATTTAAGTTGGTTTTTAAATATACATATTCATTATCTACCATTCCTATTGGGACTGCTGGGAAAATGGCAGTGGTCAGTGTGGTCGGTTTTTCACTTCCCCCCCCCCCCCCCCCCCCCCCCCCCCCCCCCCCCCCCCCCCCCCCCCCCCCNTCTCTTCCCCCCCCCCCCCCCCCCATTCGATTTGCCCGCAGTTGCCATAGCAACCGGAGAACTTGACCGAATGCGCATATTCAGCCTTCAGCCTGGGTCGGGGTGTCAATCACCGATGAGAGCTCCCAGTTCCCTTCCAGGCCTCGCAGCTGACGGATCCATAGTTGACAAAGGGAGAGAGCGACTGCCCGTGGCAGCGTGGGCAGGGTTGCCAGCCGAACCGGTAAAATCCCACATCTGTCATCCTACACGCTTTATTCTTCTTCCATCTCTAAGCGATGCGGACGCGCGAATGGAAAACTTGCTCGAGTCTTTGTCGGCCTGGGACACACGAATGGCAACTTTTATTTTTAAAACGTGTTGACAGCTATGATGTAACGGAGGGAGGAACCTCAGCATTATAATAGTCCTTGGATTGGCAGATCAGTACCCGCGCTGGTACTCTGGTTCCTTTTCCCTCATTAAACTCCATTGATTTCCCGCATTCCAAGGGTCATTTCCTGTATTTAACTTGACTATCCTTGCACTGGAGCACAACCGCTACAAGGATGGATTGTTGCCTGTTGAAGAATTATATTTCTGATGCAATGGCTTGGAGCCAGCTTGGTGCAATAGCAATAGCTCTGTAGAAAATCAGCAGTGTTTTTTAATTCCCAACTTCCTAAGGACCTAGAAGGCCTTTGAAATACTGAGAGGAATGAAGGATACGTTGGAACATCTTGATCCATTTTCAAACAGCGCTGGTTTTATGTTCACTGTCACCTAGTTCTATTGCAAACACATCGCATTCCCATAAGAAAAGAAGAGGTGAGGTGATAATACCAGTGAGAATCGTTTCTCGGGGAAGTCATGGCACTATATGCTTTTCAATGCCCAATACATTTTCATCACAGGCGATTCTGACCTTCTGGAGGCTTCTTTCTTTACTTGTTTCGAGGCGCTTTAGAATGGCTTCATCGACATACGTCCAGATGAATAATTGCAGCCATGTGAGATGAATTTTCAACAAGTATTTTAACACCTTCCGAGCTACAGCAAAACCTTATACCTCTTGAAGGCACACCGGAGCGAGACGAGTTCAATCGTAGCTCGTGTGGATCGTTCGGTTCGGTGGTTTATGCCTCAACCGTTGAGGAAGGAGTTACAGATCCCCAGCAGAGCTGTGTATCTTCGAAAGTGCCGGTTTGTTATGGGGAAACGCGGTGGACTCAGTCACCTCGAAGATGGAAGGAAACTTGCTAATTTTCCTTTTCCAGTGAGTGCATAATCGCGAGGATCGAAATTTTCACGGAAGAGGGTAAGATTCTTACCGTAAGATACAATCGTGGCTGTAGTTTTTGAATAATTTTGAAATTCATGGACGTATGCAATGGAACATGTTCACAAAATGTTAATACAAAGACGTTTTCGCTGGGGCATCCCAGTTGCCAATGACAGGAGCACGATGTAACTACGACTCAGCCATGCCCAAAGCTTACTTTGCTAACTTTGGTTTCTGGGTGTGATATGGGGTGAAAAACCGCCGCTCTGCCGCAAATTTCTCAGAAAAATCGAACTCGTGAATGCCACGAAATCGAAGCCTCGAGTGGAAGATAATAACCTGGAAGTTGTATGCGCTGCAAGAGGGGTTCTGGGCGCAGATCTCCAAGCAGATTCGGGAATCATTCGAGGCCAGACCCGCATAGGTCGCCAGGGGCGTCGAAGCGAGTCGGAGTCCTTGTCGATGCCGACAGCTGGAGTACATGATCCCGACCGTCCCCCCGGGGACGCCGAGGAGAATCACCGCGAGAACCAGCAATCCAGGCAGTGTCTCCATCTTCGACCTTCGGAATCGCGGGGACTGCGGTGGGTACGCCGAGTTCCCGGATTCGGATGCCCCGACGGTACCGGAAGTTCACGGAGGTGAAATTCTTGTTTATAGGTGGGTGCCATGACAATTGTGATCGATGTCGGTCGGGGTTTTCGTAGAGACACGCCCATCCATTCCTTCGCCTCGGAAGGTTAATTGTCTCATCCATCTGAAGGATGACACTAACACCTGGGACCTCTGCGCAGTGAATGAGCTTCTCCCTATCATTATATTCCCTCGTGTGAAAATGAGCATGTGCCTCGTGGCACGCGTGTTTAGAGGAATCAGGGCAGTCGCCAGGGTCGATAGAGACGATTAGTACCAAGGATTTGTTTCTTCCCCAAGAGAAGCCTTCGCCCTCCGAACTATTCTTATTCATATCTAAGTTTCAATTCAGATCCAAAACTTGATAACGATGAGGTTCTTGTTCCCCCTCCGCATGAACGGCAATCCTGCAGTGAAACATTTTTTTTCAGGACTGCTTTCCTCCATAAAACCGGAGTGAGCGTGCGTCTCTGAAGGAAGCAATGGAAGCGAGGAGCGTAGAGAACCGAAGAGGAAGAAGGAACGATCGTTCTCTGTCGTCCCCTTCACCTGTGCATTTCTTTGTCCCTCCAAAAGAAGGTTGAGAATAGTGAGAAGTGAGGGGGCCTTTTGCGTTACTATGGCTCTTGTAGAACGCAAGTATTGATCATTGTTGCGCTGCTAGCAAACGACAGAAAATGTAGGCTCCTACCGACATTGATCTATGAGAACCCCCCCCGGTGTGAACCAGAGCCATTTCGTGTTGAATGCGGGGTCCGTGGCGCTTGTCTGAAGTTCTATTCCAACTCTTGGCGTAGTTCCATTAATGCCTGGCACTTGTCGGTAAAAACAGACGACGTGTGAATTTAGTAGATGAGGACTAACGAAATTTAGTCGTAAGGAACTCGCCATCGGTAGAAAAGTTGAGGGAAAAATAAACAGAAAAAATCATTGTAATTTATACTGCTTTGCTGCTGAGCCTACAGTTGATGCCATGCTTAGATGGACCACTAATGATTTTGATCTTTCACTATGATCTCATGTTCATCAGAATGATAGTTGAAATGCATTAGTCGCAGGGCAAACGTACCCGATGATCAAAAGGATCGTTAGTTCGGTCGTTAGGTCGGTCGTTAGTTCAATCGTTAGTTCGTCGTTAGTTCAATCGTTAGTTCGGACGTTATTTCGATTGTCATAATTGAAGGAGCCAAGATTACAGGTTGGTCACATTTAGAAAATAGTGCGAAAACGAGTTAATCTGTGGTAGTCAAGAGCTGTGGTACTCTATGCAAAAATGAAATTCCCTTCTTCTCCTTTTAGAGACGATTTTCCCAAATATTCAGCAGAAAAAAATTACAAAAGGTGTTATCCCTTTCTATTCCCTATCTTCACAGTTTCTAGAAGAGTATATTAACTATGCTCTTCCAGAAAATAGAGCAAATAACGATCACAAGCAGATGGGGTGTTATGGGTCCAGATAGCTTCTCACCGGTCAAAGATTTCTTATGGACTAAAATCATCAAACAGGAAAATAATTATGAGACATTAATGTGAAACGGTTCGAGTGATGACGACACCCTCATCCAGGACGCCGCCTCAGCAAGTCTTCAATGGAACAAGGGAATCTTGCCCCCTTTCGACCGATCGTGTAAAGGTGGTGAGAGAGGATACTGGGAGGAAGAGAGAAAAGAAACTGGATGAGAAGACGGGATGCTCCGCCGTATATCCACGTTGTCCGAATTCGGAGTTGAGGAAAAGCTGACCTCAAGAGCGGCGTCATTAGACCGTTTCGTCTGGGAAAGAGGAAGTGAAGATGAGAGGAAGAGGAGGGACTAGATTTTACAGGTTTGATGAAGAAAAAGATAGAGAGTGGGAAGAAAACTCGGTCGCACCGACGGCTGCCGTTAGAATCTCCTTGGCCTTATAAGGAAGTACAAGGGAAAAAAATGACACGAAAAACGTCTTTGTTCTTTGTCTTGACTGTGTCATGATGGCTCAAATGAGTCGACACCTGGTCGTCTGCCTTCGCGATCGTCAGTTGTCTTTAATTAGCCCTAAAGTGTTGCAGAATGGTGTCTTGGGCGCTTCTTGATAGGGAAAAATCCTCTTCCTGGATCAGGACAGAATGAGGGGGGTGAGAAGAAAAAAGGAAACAGCAGAAAGAGAGTGATGCTTTTTGGAATAGAAAAGTTAAGAGGGAAACGGAATGTGAGCCACCCGAAGTCTCGTGCATTGATCACTGGAGAAAGCATAGAGGGTATACGTAACATAAATTTAGGGGTGACATGGACCATATTCGTTTAACTTTAAACTGATTTGTTTTCATAATGGACGTCTATGGCAATAAGTTTATTTCTGTTAAACTGATTCCCTTAGGGGACCATTGTGAGATCAGATTAGTTTAGCTTAAACGGATCCGGTGCATGTCACCGCATGTCACCCTTGGTGTTCCAAGAGAGACAAAGGGCATTCACCGAGAACGATGAATTCAGCCCTCGCCAGTCTCTCGTTCAGGTCAACGAAGAAAAGGCAGGTGTCGCACTCGTCTACGGGAACCTAGTCATGTACTCATTGTGGGCCTCGTGTCCCGCCAAACCGGCCTCATCTTAGAATAGAGAACAATGCGATGACGATACAGTGGTTTTCGATTAATTTAATCCCCTTCCGTGGCAGAGGCGGGAATGATTTAATTCCAACTTCAGTCACTGATTTTGCCTGTTGCAGTTGAGACAGCAGATGTCGTTCAGTCGGGTGATATGTGCAGCCATTCGTGTGGCGCCATTCAGATGGGAGTCTTACGAGCTTAATTAGACCTAACATGGCCTAATGAAGCTAGTAAATTTGATCCAATGAAATGGCCTTTTCGTCATAATCTTACCATACAGATATCAAGTCCTGGATGCCTGGGACTAATAAGATGCCGAAAGGTCAAGGATGTGTTGCTGGAATCGAGAGTCGGATCAGCTTTGGGTAGTGGGTCCCGTGGGATGCGATTGAGGCATCTGGCTGGTTGAAGGTAGACCCACAGCTCCAATGTCCCCTTCCTCCCCCCCACCCCAACCTGAACAACTCTCATCAGCTGCTGTCGCTCCCAAAATCTTCTATGTTCCGCTCTAAGGGAGAAAGTTACCCTCCCTCCAACTGCCATATGGTGGAGGGAGGGGAGAGGGGGAGGGAATGGTAGACAATGGTTATAAAACCGCTAAAATCATCTGGTTCTGCTATAGTTTTTTTTTTTAGTCTTGTGGTCTTATCGGGTGTTGGAATGATTATTCCGATAAGCGCACAGAATAAAACGCTCACTGTATAGTCACAATATGATCGGAAGTAGTATCATGATCGGTCGTCTCAGTCGAAATGCTCCCCGTAAGAGGGCACCCGAGTCACAATTTAATGTGGCTATATTTTGCTGAAAATGTAAAGTACCTTCCTGGAAAAGACAGTGGAGGGCCTCGTCGGTGTCGTCAGGCGCAAATGATCGGAGTCCAGACCGAGGGACTCCTCCCTATTCACGATTCCGTAAAGTTAAAAAGTTTAATTTTGAATGGAGGCGTCCAAAGGGTGGACTCAAGTTAAAGTTACTTTCTGTTTTGACTTCTTTACCGGCGGACACTGAGTTTTGACAACAGTAAATGTTACTTGGAACAGTACGCCTCTCTGGGAAAGGTGAGCAAGTTAATAATAAAAAAATAACCATCTTCCAAAGATCCGAGAAAAAGGCACTGGATCCATCACTGGTCCATCACGGAACTGAATACTTTCATTAGTCGAGTCTAAATAAGAGGGATGCATGATGACCCTGGCATGTCGGTGGCAGCTTCAGTGTTGAAAGAAGCCATTTTCATGCAAATTTCTCGCTCATGTATAAATCAAAAGCTAATTGAAAAGGACCGGATATGAGGGGAAGCATTACCGTTGGATGCATCCGTTCACCTGGTTTCGTTCCATGAGTTCCACCTGTTTCATTCTTTTCAACTTATATGATCCCTTAGAATGGGGTCATTTCTAACCGCACTGTTTTTTTATCCTTCAACACTCTAAGCTATTAACCCCCCGAAATTCATCAGATGTGAGTGACAGGAGGCCACGAGAAGAAATATGTATACTGACAACCGTTATCGATGCGAACATGCCGGTGCGAAAAGAAGCGGGTGAGCTGAAACTCGGTGAGAAGAGGACTGCGTCCACGCTGACTTGCACGAGAAACTTGCTTTCTCTCTACTGTGAAGATACATGCTCGTGGGAAGAATGGAAAGAAGCCGGCGGTTGGGAGCAGGAGGACCCAAAGGAGTGCACACGATACCGATGAGGGAATAAAGGCCGATCAGAACATTGAGGGAGTTACAGTCGTCGTCGTCGTCCAATCTGTCTTGAAGAAACAAGGAACAGGGACTAGATCACGAAAGGAGGAGGGAAGTTTTCCATTATGCATCTGCGGCGGAAAGCATGCAGTGCTGTTCGCGTCGGTACGACCTTGGCAAGTCAGACGTGCTCAAGCTTCCATGCTTGAGGGGCCATCCGAATTTTGAGTTTTTTCCATATGGGCAATGCCCAGTTGAGGGAATGGTTTCCTGAGATATGCGCAAAGTAGATATGAGATATGAGTTGGCACTGTTTAAACGGTAAATTTAATGTTCAAACAGTGCCAACAGCAACTACTCATTGCTCTGGTCGCTATCATAGTAGAGTTCGTATTGCTATTGCTATTGTATTTTTGTGCGGGTGAATGCGTAGTAAATTGCATGACGTCACGTAGCTGGTTTACCTATGGTTCATGGAGTCGGGGCCGGCGGGGTGGTGGTCGTCGTCGTAGTGATCCGAACGCCTGGTGCCATGGAAAGATCCCAGTAAATATTGCTCGGTCTAAGGAATCTTTTCAAAAGAGAACAGAATGAAGCGCACATTTGTTGCTGATGGAATCGAAGTAATACGTGGCGATGCAATCGCATGCATTTCCGATGCACTGGCTCCCATCCACGACCTTACTGCATTGTTTGTCGTTCGTGCAGGCCCCAGCGAACGCCACTTCTGAATGAGGTGCAAGAAGGCACGTTAATCTCTCTGATGTCCGAAAGCGTTTCACTTTCTCGATCTCTTTTATTATTTTGTTTTTTCACGAGGAGAAGAGAACTTACTCGGCAGGCAGGTGGAATCGTCGATCTGGGCATAAGTGGCGGAACAGACGCATTTCAACGAGGTGGGATCGCAGAGGCTCCCGTTGGTCGTGGCCAAGCACTGAGAAGCCGTATTGCAAGGCCAACCCAGCAGACGAGCTGCAACCCGAGCAGTCCTTCGTGCTGACACGAACGCGGGAAATGGCGGGAGAGGGAAAAAAACTGGGCGGAGTCCAGTGTGCAAAAGCGAGCTCCCTTCGAGTGTACCTTTCTTTACGGCTGATATCGGATAAGTATATCAAGGGGATACATACAGTAGGTGCGCATAGCCCTGTAAACAAAAGTAGCACTTGAAATACGAAAACATACATGAGGCAATCACTATCCGGCTCCTCAAATTCCCTAACATTCGAGGTGCTGTCCTTCGCCTACAAGACCCAGCTTCACTCGCGTCCAAGTCTCATCTCGTGGCGCAGACGACAAACAAAGAAGCGATGGAATACGTTTATTTTCCGGTATTTCGGGTCATCGATACTGGGTAATCCCTCGTTTGCTACTCTTGATCTTTGAGAAACACACCGAAATGCATTGACGCGAGGTGCGGTGAGAAGGTGAGAAGGCGAGAAGGCGAGAAGGTGAGAAGGCGAGAAGGCGAGAAGGCAGGCCGCTCAAGAGGACCGAATTTTCGGCATTGGCATTATGACCAGGGAGAAGCATTTCTATGCCCTCCCGATCAAGTCACAGTCTGATGGGGGTTCAATTAAAGATCCCGATCGACTGGCAGTCGTAATCTGGTATCACGAGTGCTCGCAGCCCTCATAATCTCAGATTACTATGCATAAACTGGACATTGCCACCCGACTCTGACCTTAAATAATTTTCCTCCTTTCAGATTGTGAGCATAAATGAGATTCTAGTCAAGGTGCAGACCGTCCATAATCCCAGTACATAGGCAAGATTTAAAAGGGATCTAAGGCAGGGGTCGGGAACCTTTTTGGCCAAGTGAGCCACATTAAGATAGAGTTAAGTGCTTGTGAGCGAAAGGTTTTCAGAACAACAGAATTTTTCCTGAAGTTGGCAACAGACATGCATTCTTTCATACATGAGAAAAATGAGGAACAACCATAATTTTCGGCCGTGACTCAATGAGCCAAACTTTTCGGCTCGTGAGCCAAATTTGGCTCATGAGCCATAGGTTCCCGACCCCTGATCTAAGGTATTTCAGCCTTTTACGGCCTGTGCGTCGGGACTGGTTGAGCCAATCTGGCCGTCTCGGAGCCCGTGCAGGTTCCAATAGAGATTCCTCTCGAGGGACGATCCGAGCCTTTTTATCTGGATCTCATCACAAAACCAGAAGCAAGGGGCAAAAGAGAGCGCGTGCAGAGATTTTCCGAGAACAAAATTGAATGCACAATGCGCGAGAGGATATCGAAATCGATTGCCGATAGGAGCTTGAGAAAACGGGAATGCAAGCCGATTCGACCAACTGGAAAAGGAGATAGTAAAAAGGATTCCTTGTTGTTTCGACGCAAGAGACAGAGTTGCGCGAGGCGAGAAGGGGCGGGATTGTAAATAGTTTCTTATTGGGGGATATTTTTCGAGAAAAATACACGAGTCAAATTTATTATTATTGGGAGCTGTGCATCACATTTCGTGAGGTTCGAAGCAATTTCATTCTCGCTGACGTTGGCAAGGGGTTTTGCGTCAGCACACAGGGTGAAGCCCAAACAAACACAATATCAATATAGAAGAATACCGAATGGGCACAACGAGCAGCGAACTCGGGAACTCGACTCGGGAAGATCTTGTAAGACTTTGATGTACTGTGATGAGCGCGACCTCTGGCCTTTGGCCTCTAGCCCGTGGTAAAGGTTCAATAAGGTCTCCGTGCTCAATACATCGCTTGGCAAAAGCTTTGGATGAGCTTTTGGAAAGGAACGGATCGTGTTCGCAGACGGGCGTCTTCGCGATTGCGTAAGCTATGACTCCTTTCTTTCAGAAAGAAAGGAGACGGAATAAAAAAAAAGAAGGAATTTCCTCACGGGTGTCGGGCGAGAGGCAAACACCGTTGAAATACTGCCAAGCGGACGGACAGGTGCACGTGTCGATGGTGCAGGTCGCCCCGATCGTCGAAGCCTGACATTGCTGCGGCATGACACAAAACTCTCCGTAGTGCCGAACTAGAGCGAGAGCACGGCAGTTTCTTCGTTCACTCGTTGCTCTGAATATCTTTCTATAAATATATATTTCTAGTCATACCGCAGGACGCAGAGCAGTAGCCGGAGGAGATGCAGGCAGTCGTGTCGATGAGACCAGGAAATGCCACCTGCAAGAAAAGAAACGCCACAAAACCGGACTCGAGGAACGAAAGAGCGACTGCAGGAAAGCGACTTCCCCCCGCGGATACCTTTCCGGGTTCGGAATCCACGTCGCAGTAGGTCCAGCCGGAAATACGGGTCAGAGCCGCGCCGTTCAGGTCGCAGAAGGCATACTCCAACAACTCGCAGGTCTTCGTTCTCGCCTGAATCCGAAACATCACGTCGTCTGAGGGCTGACAGTTGCAGACGTTGAACGATTTCAGAACGTCAGTTTCCTTTCGGACGCGGTTCGTTTCGCCTTCGGTTTCGGTCTCGTCTCGAGAGAGACACTATCCGAACTACTTGATACCACAGGGCAACCTCGTCGTTATGGAATGTAATATTCGAAAAATTCTCCAGTATGTCGTTCGTAGACGAATTCGGAAATTTGAAGCGGCCCAAGATGGGAAATGAAAGTCGAGTGTAGACGGGCTCGGCGTGCCCTCCGTCTTCACCGAGCCTCACCCTTCTCTCACCCTTCTTTCACCCTTCACTCGGGCCCACGAGATCACGAGACGTTAGCGCCCGTTTTTGCGAGGATCGTTCTCGGGGAATTTCTGCGTCGTTTCCCCGTCTCATCACGGCATGCTTCACGAATCCGACCCTTTAAGTGCTTTAATATTTATCGGAGAACGAGGTGCTTCAGGAACCCAAATTCTATGGACTCTAGCCATATTTTACATATAAGGATAAAACACCAATTTTATCAAGTTTGGTGCACGGTGAGGTAACACCAAAGGCCTGCAGAAGATAAAAAATATCAACCTCGACACGCATAGTACTCTAATTAAACTGCTGTAAACTTCAAAAGATGGAATGGAAACGAAACACATTTCCCAGCAGGCATCTATATTTCTGGCCTGGTTGCTCGCATGAGCGTAATTGCAAACCAAACTCAGTCGTGCCACGCTGGCTACGCTGGCTTTCACTTCTGGTTGAAATTTGATGCAAAAATCTCCCTCTTCGGCGCTGAAATTTCGGCGAAACCGAAGCGGCGATGCCACGATTGCGAAGCGTAAAGCGAACGTGACCTGAAAGTTGAAGGCCTTGCACGAAGGGAACCGGGCGCAGACCTCCATGCAGATCCTGGAATCGTTCGAGGCGAGAATGTAGGTGGCCAGGATGGACCTAACGAGGCGAAATCCGTTCCGATTCCGACAGCTGGAGTAGACGACCTCGTAGGTCTCCCCGAGGAGGAAGACCCCGAGGAGGAAGACCCCGAGAGCGACGAGAGGAGACGGCGCCTTCATCCTCGGCCGCCGGGAATCTGCCTGGCCCTGGGGGATTGCGTTCCGTCCTGTTTGTCGCGCGATTCCATGGAAATGGTCGTCGACGTCGGACGGGATTCCGACGGGGCACGCCCATCCATTCCCCCTCTCGGAAGGGTTAATTGCCCCATTCGTAGGAAGACCGATGCGAGGGACCTTCGAGCGGGGAGCGATAAACGCCCCTCATCAATCCCCGAGCGAGAGGCTCGCCTCTCGCCTCGTGACATCTCCTGCGTCCGTGTCGTTCATCACAGGTGTCGATGGGGGAAGGTGTCGATGGGGGAAGGTGTCGATGGGGGAAGGTGTCGATGGGGAAAGGTATCTTTAGAGGATATCTTTCGGGAGCTGCCTGGCCCCTCGAAACATCAGTGTTTCTTCGAGCGCCTCGATTTTGAAGATCCCTCACATTTCCACGTGAACCGGTGGCACATAACCCAGAAATTCTTGACAATTCGTCTAAGACTTCAGTAGTCCACGAACGACTTGAACCCAGATGAAACTGTACTACAGAATGCCTTCATAGAAGATCAATAGATCCATTCTTTACAATTTCTACAAATCTTTAAAATGTATAGTTTATATACAGTCGACGCTCCATATAACGAAGGGACGGACTAAATAAAATTCGTTGTAAAGAAAATTCGTTATATAGAGGTCCGTTATATGGAGCGTCGACTGTAGATATCATTCTGAAGAATCCTCAATAAAATACTTTCGCCAGCCTGGGTGAAAATGCTCTATAGTAGTTTAGGTACTCATTTTGTTATGTAGATAAGTTAAGTTTTTATATTTTGGTCGATCCAGTTTTTCGCAGGAGTCGATTGAAAATGTTTGACTAAAGTAATGGATACCGTAGTACTTACCCTTGAGAGAAAAAAAAGGAAGATGATCGCCTAATATTTTTATTCGGAACGGAAGCCTCGCACGACGCAACGACCGAGAGAAAAAGCTTAGAAATTGGAATTTCACGGATGGTGCCATCGAGTGAAGAAAGACTGCACGGAATGCAGAGAAGAAGATTCCCCGCCGAGAGAGTATCCCTCCCCCCCACTCGAAGAGATACAGGCATCGAATCGTCGCCGATTCTCGCACGGGACGGGAAACGTCGGGAACACTCGGCCTCTTGTCGGACTTGGCGGAAAATCTGGTCGAGACAGGGGGGGAGAGAGAGAGAGAGTGAGACATCTGCAGTGGATGCAAGGGGAATGCAGGGAGGCTTCAGAGCCCCTCGATCCCAAATTCCTGGTTCTATTAGAAATAGGGTTACCATATTTCGGACAGCCGAAAAGATGACACCTTCCGCTCGGACGGAAATTTGAGGGCAAAAATGGAGGACATGTCCGGGAAAACCCGGTCGTATGGTAATCCAAACTAGAACCCATCTCGAGAACTGTGGTTGCGACTTTGCTAGGTTGATCCCACTCACGTCGAATAAAGTACGGGGGGGGATTACAAGTGCTAAAAGTGTTTGAAGCACGCAACTCATTTTTGAAAATACCAGACCGCTATGAAATGAACTGTATTCTTAAAGATCGAGGGAAAAAGAGAAATACTGTTAATTTAGAAGTTCCCGTGTGAGTGTAGTGAGTCGTGATGGTGGGAATCGGTATGGGAAACGATTAGTTTTCACTACACAATCATGCTCCATTACACGTGGGACCACTTCGAGCCGAATGATGAATTCCCGCGATTAACCGAGACGCGGGAACGATGCCGTGCATCTCGTCGGGCGCGCCGCCATCGATCGCGGCCGGTCGACGGGGGCTCGCGTCCGCGGTGGAAATATTTCTTCGGTTCCTCCGCGGGGAGAAATCGACCGAGGTCGAGCGGTCGATGCCGAGATCGTAGGCTTAAGGGTTTCTAGGCGAGGAAAAAAGAACTCGTGATTTATCGAGACGAAGCTCGGGCTGTCGAACCTGGATGAAGACGACGATAAAGCGTTATTTGAGCTCGATCTCCCTGCGGGGAGGTTTCCATGCGAGTGAGGTGACGACGAGGAAACGGAGGAGAAAAGAGGGAGAATCCTGCTCCGTCATCTCCATCAATTCGCGTCTTCTCCACGTGAAAATGCTCGCTCGTCTCGGCACGTTCTTCTTTCCATACGAAAGCGGAGAAGCGCGAGGAGTGATGACGTTCGGATCGTTGCCAGATGCTAATGCGTCACGAGCGACGAAGGAATCGCTGGCGTCGAGGCGATGTGTCTTCATTGGAGTCACGAATGTCGTGCCCCGGTTGCTCGACCGTTTCCTGCACTCGTCCCCGCGATGGGAATCGGTAGCTTCGAGGTTTGTCGTGATCTCTCGCTCGAAAGCGGGTTCGAATACTTCTGCTCCGTGGATTGCTTGAAAATTTTGGGGGAAAATAATGTAAAAAACGAACTCAGACGCAGTGTGACGTAGTGAGCAAAGGGCTTTCTTTTAGAGAATCATTGCTGGTGGTCGGGGAAATGTTATCTTTCGAGGATTCTCCTTTGAGAATTTTTAAATACGGCTCAGACGGCGTCTCCAGTTTCAAGCCAATGTCAACTCACCAGAATGATTCAAAGATGCAACTCCTACTGAATAATTCATTTTGTTCCAGGCTAGCAAATGAAACGGAATAAGGAATATCCCATCAAACTAACTCTCATCAATCAAGTGTACCAGAATTTCTCATTGACAAAAATTTAGGCCGAAAAGACTTTTACCCCGAAATTTGATTCGAGACAGACTTTTGCCCTGGACCAACTTTTCCCCGAATGGTTTTTCACGAATCGGCAAGTTTTACACTCTGCGAGTAAATAAATTAAATTGAAAACCCAGCATAGGAATCCTGTTCACTAAGGAAGCTTCATGATTGATGCTTGTTCCCGGGGATCCACCCGAGGTCGTGTCTCGATGCCAGAGGTCTAGGCCAAAGGTGAAGTTTCATTCGTTATGGACTAATCATGTCAAATTTCACTTTCACGGGTCATAACATATTGGGTGTATTTAACCAGAACGCATGAAAGCATGCGATGCTTGGACAGCACCGCACTCCGACGATAATTACCGCAGCGAAGATCGTCCGATGCGAACCTTATGTACGCAATACCAAAACCAAATATCTATACCATCCGGTTGAGGTCAAGAACTAACCGGCTTTTCGTTTACCCAGGGGTTAAAACAAATCTGGTTTTATGGATAGACTTAGAAATGCTAAAATAAATTATTCTTTCATCTACCCAGTAGATATAAACAGTAGCCAATTTAATACTTCCCTCCTTTCCTCTACAGCCTAGGCGGCCACCCTCTAAGGTATTTCTTGTGTGGGCTCGAGCGCATCACCATTGTTTCCTCATAGGAGCAGAACATCCAGTGAAATATAAAAAGACACAATTTCGTATAGGCATATTTATGTAGTCTTTCCCATCCTTACGTTACGGACGACAATGCGACTGTTGACGTTGAGCGAAGTGAACCACTTCAGGCTCTTTCCAAGGTGTGAATCAAAAGATCCTTGCATCATATTCATATTTTATTCCTTCTTAAAGAATACTAATAGAAAAATAACATCCTCAACGGACAGGATTTCACAACCTGAAAGGCTACTTTCAAAATCACCAATCGAAGACACCAACAGGACATCGCCCTAACATTCCCTGAGCAAATACGGAATGATAGATTCTTGTGGAATCAGGCGAAAAGCACACAGAAACCACATGGAAATCGTTTGATCTCATCCTCTGGAAGACAAATTGTTCATTTAAAAAATAAAAGTAGGCCTACACAATGGAGATTGTCAATTAGAGGAATATAATATTATTTGGCATTTCCCATCAATTTCAGAGACAGAAAGATAGGAACCTTTCATTTGTACCAAACAAGTGGTCTTGTGTTACTTAATCTCATGGTCAAGCCTTCATTCATGCAAAAATGAGAAACTGTAAAAATAAGAAAATTTTTTAGAGTTGGAGAATGATATATTCCTTTAACCCGTTATCAATATCAAAATATTGTAAACCAACATGGCGTACTATATTGAGTCGACAGTTCCGGGAACTGACACAAACCATTTCACATCTAGATACAGTAAATGCTATGAAATGTGACAGGCTGGTTTGTCAAGCGGTTAAGAGGCTAAAATAATAAATACCTCTCTTCCCTTCTGATCCCCTTTGCAAGGCATATTAAATCACATTTTGAATTTTGTCATGGATATTGACCACTGAAAACTTGTCACAAATAACAAGACACTTGATATGAGCTTGTAAGTAATGAAAAATCCCTTCTGATATGATGCACCATAACCAGACGTTCATAATTCAAAACAATGAGCTGGAAAATAACCTCATGATCAAGAATCAGATGCATGTGAAATGAAAATGACAGAGTGGAAGAGTATAAATAATGCAGGGAAGGGGTATTTCAAAAAGGGAATGAAGACTAAAAGTTCTTTTTTTTTACCCATCAAGTTTACATGCAAAAGAAAGTAATGATGCCTCTATCCTGGTTGAACTTCCCTTCCTCACAATTTGGAGAAGTGGCAAATTTGTTATGTCTATCACTGAGCTGAAGCACAGGAAAATATTTGGGTTGTCTGGGCAATATATGTATTGAAATATTTACTTGTATGTAGGGCAACAGACAATTTAACTCTCACAAATGTGGGCAGCCAATGAAATCATGTGCCTCTCTCACTGAAATATTTATCATCATTTTCAAAGCAAGAAAAAAATTCCTGGCTAATGGAGTTGAGAATTTCCTCTCGATTGGATCCATAATGATGGCCTTGCTCTGATTAAAGAGCCAGTAGGTTCTAAAATGCATTTTTCCTTATGCACTTCATTTTCTCCTGACAACCAGCATGGTCATACTAATGGATTTACTGGTAACATGTTCAACATAGTGCCTTATATGTATAATTATAATTAATTATAACACATTTATATGACATGTAGAACATGTTACTAGTAAATTACCTGATATGACACAGCTCATTGTTGGGAAAATGTATTAAGTGCACCTACTGATTAAATGTCCCTTGCATTTATGAATATGCTCAAGAGTCATAGTGATGCCACCATTCATGAGTTATGGCCAAGCAAGTTGCTCACATTTCCTTAGCTGATGACTATAGAGACACACAGTGCCATATTACCAGGGATAAAATATTGGCAGCAGGCAGTCAGTTGGTGAATACAAGATTATAAGGTCACAAGAAGACAGAAGTCCCAGGGGAACTGCCTTGGAATGTGAAATCAACCAAAAATTAGACGATATTGCACTTTGCTCAAACTTGGTGACAGATCCACAGGCACATTTTTGGAGAAACACCAATGAAACACCTTCAACAAATGAAGGAACCCAAAGATCTCCTGAACAAAGGAAATAAAGAGTCATATGGGAGACATGTCTTCCACTGAGCAGTGATCTGACCTCTATGAAATACTGACCTATGACAAAAGCCACAATGCATCTATTGGCATACTGACTCCAAAAATGATAAAAAGAAGCTGCTTCTGTACACCATCGCATCAAATCAAGGAAATGGAACATAGAACAAAACAGATATGCAATGTATCGTTGATAGTTGAGTGGGGTAAAAAAAACAATCACTGGAGTCAAACAGCTGCCATATAAGGCAGGATGAGCTTTTGGCACTTTTCAGGAGCTACTAATAAGTCATGCAGCAATTTGTACCTGATGGTATTCATCAGTTGTATTTTTTTGCTTGAATATAAAAATGGAATCATTCATTGCTTTCTTGTTGGAATCTTAAGCTCACTGAAAAAAACTCAAAGGTCAACACATAGTGATGAACAGGAGGGTCATGGAATTGTTGCAGGTGATAAATTCTGAATGACTTAATGAATAAAAAAAATAGGGCTTTGAAAGGGAGCACTTGAAAGAGAGGAACAGATAATGTCTTAGCTCTTCGAGGACCGAGACAGGCGATGATTGCAGCGCAGGTAGAACTGGCCAAATGAATTTTCAAGCAATACCATAGCAATCTTCATGAATGGTTGCAGCTTTCGTTCCCCTGGGACAAACAAATACACAACACATGAAGATAGGTTATTTTACAACTGGAGGAGCTGTTTATTTAAGCTATTACAGGTGGAGAAAATGGGTTATCTGTAATAAATAAGTGCAATTTACTTATTCATATTTTGGAGTGTAGATAATCTGCAGCAACATGTAGGAGGGTAAAAAAAAAGAAGAACTGACTCTCCAGAATTGGATTTGCCTGAAATACTTGATTGAGTTAACAATTTCAGAAGTTGTCACTCTGCAGTGACAACTTCTGCAATATGTAATCTGGCTGCTGGATTTTCATATGGCTCATTATCACATTATTATTACCTTTGGGATCCACTCAGGATGGGTTCAGATCTACCATATTGCTCAATGAGAACTGTGAATGCAGAAAAGCTAGGATACAAAGGAATCTCTATTATAGGAGTGCCAAACTGGTGGCCTGCAGACTGGAGCCAGCCTGTCACTTGTGTTGCATTTCCATAGTTGCATAACACAATCATTACATCTTTCCTCTGGTAAGGCATGCTTCTCACCTGCCCCATTTTCCACAAGTGTCACTGTTTTTATGAGCCCTGCCCTCTATCTGAAAGTGCAAGGTATTGAGTGATGGATAGGAGAGGAAGGGAAACCTTCCTCATGTTCTCTACTTATAACACTTGGAACATGGAACAGCTTCCCCTCATGGACGAAGCAGGTCCTGTAGGATATTTGCTACCAAGGATTTAAGTAGATAATTTTTTTTTATGATTCTGTGACTTTGAAATGCTTGTAAAACCTTTAGAAGGATCATGTTAAAATTATGTCTGTTGCAAGCACAAGGTAATTTGGGAGAAAAAGGCCTCAATATTCAGGCAAGTTTGATGGGAAAGCATTCAAAAGCACTCATTTTCTCCCAAGAAAATATCTTAAACAAATGTGAAGTTGCACATACTTGCCTAAGCATGCATATAACTAATATGCATTTTGTAAAATTATTAATTAAAAAAAGAAACGAAGCCATACTAAGCTCAGGTATACTGTGATAGAAATGAAATGCAAGAGAGGGAATGTGCAACAAGACAATCTCACCAATGTTTCCACCAACTTCCCATAGAGCATGGGTCTGAAGAGCAACTTCTTCATCCCCAGCAGTCATCATACATGTGGTGAAGACATCTCTGGATAGATCACCCAGAGGATGCTGATGCCTTCTCTTCATATTCCCTGCAACTCCACCTTCAATGGCAGCACCACTACTGTTGCTCCTTTCCTTTCGATGAACCATCAGCTCCAGGACACTAAACAAGGATATGTTTCATGTTGAGGATTTCTGACAGCATCATTATGTAAAAAAATCAACTTTCTGAATATTGCAAACAGAAAACCTGAGGACAATGTCTCCAGCAGTGCACTCAGTGTCAACAAAGACAGTGGTAACAGGGATTGGGAATGAACTAGGCAACATCACAGTCAAGGGGAAGCTAGAGTTGTCCTGAAGGCAATCCATCACCTTCTGGTGGAGTTCAAGACCACGTCGTCTCTGAAACAGATCACCGGCCACATTTCACAATCTAATAGAAGTTCTAATGCCAAGGAACTATAAAAAAAAGACACTGGATACAGAAAGATAAAAAGAATTTACCAAGTCTTGAAAAGACCGGTCTCGTTCATATCCTTTTCGGAGTTGTGTCATCAAACTCTGAGGAACTCGCCAGAGCAAATCCTAAAAAGATACAATACCCAAATCTATTGGAGCAAATCTTATATTTTGCAAGATGGCTTCCTACATAAGGAACTATGTAGATGGCTCTATCTCCTGAGTTAAGATTCAGTTGTAACAATGAAGGATTTCCAGCTTGAGCAGGATAAATAAACTCCACTGTGTTTCAAACCTTCCATATGAATTGCATGCATGATTATGTAAGAACTTGCATAGTCTATACTGTGCATACCTTATGACAGATTAGCAGCTGAAGAACCTCACAGCTTGAAGCTGCAAACTCCATCTGAAAAACATAATTAACCAGTATTGGTCAGTGTGATTGAATTTGATGTCTTGACTTCTTTTTCTACTTCCATGATGGTAAATATGCTTTTAAAAATGCATTGGATTGGAAATTATATTGCTTTTCTTAGTAAATGAAGAATGTTTTATTTTGCAAAGCATAACAGTGTCTCATTCACTAAAGACCCCAGTGCCATTGACAGCTCTAGCAGAATTTAGCCATTGAAGGCATCACAATATGCATTTTATTCAATGCTTCAGATATAGATCAAGTCTTCTCTAAGAGAATTTCCATGAGAAAAATGATGGATATGTTGAATGTTGACTCTTTCTTGCAGTGTTTACCTCAGGAAAACAAGAATGCTTAATGACTTCATTTGTGTACTCAAGAATAATCTTAAACAAGTCAAATGAATAATGCATTCAAGTGTTGCTTAACACCAATTTCGTTTTTGTGACATTTCCATTCAGATTAAAGTTATGTTTTGCGCTCCATGCATTTATATGAGAGGGGAATATCCACAAAATCTCGTTTATTATAGAAAAGAGAAAAAGAGATCTAGCAATGATTTATTAATGTATCTCACAAGCAAAAGAAAAGTTTTCTCTTGCTCAAGATGCCACTGTCAAGTAGATCATGGGGTTCAAAAGCCACTCTTATCACCCTCCTGGGCATAATGTCAGCAGATATGCCAATAACTTCATTACTTTTATGAAGTCCTAGAAAACTCAAGTATCCCTTTCCCCACAGATATAACTGTTCTGCAGATGATGAATGTTCATTCAATATAAGGACTATAAGGATAGCCTATGGATTTAAGATTACTGTTATGTCATAAAAGAGTTTTTGGTATCAACACGACAAGATCAGAAGCAAACTTCCATTCTGACTAGTCCATTTATCAGAGGAAATCAGGAAAAGAGAAGAAAGTGCATGGATACAGACCTGCTTGTTGATGCCTTCTTGATTCCTACGAAAAGGCATGAAGAAGAGGTTGGGAGACACAACCAGAGCAACATTATGCAGGGACATCTTATTAGTATCCTCCTTCTCCACAACCCGTGCAAGGAAACTGATAAATGCTTGCAACACATTCCTGTTTGCTCGTGGCAATGACAGTATTAAGTAATTGAGGGCTTTCACCTGCTCCTTTTCTGCACCCAATTCTGCAAGAGCAGCATAGAAGAATGGCTTTTAACTGAATTTAATTCAACTGATTTTTGAGTCTTTGTTTTCCAGATTTCACCCATGAGTTCCAACAGTGAAATGTATCACGGACTCAGGATGGGCATACCTAGAGTCTTAAGGAAGGCATCCATATTACGTGCAGTCACAAGAGGGTCGGGCAACTCCCGGAGGAACATCTTGAGGAGGGATGTAACATCATGTGGTGATGCATGCACCAGAGTGTTATCCACACTATCTGGATTGCTATAGAGATTATCCTCAATCTCATTTCGCATTTGCTCTGTCTTGGCACGGTTTCCTCCCACACGTAACAACCCTTCTACATGTAGACAGTGGAGATGCAGGTGCTGCAGAATCTGTGAAATACCAGTCTCTTTCAAAATTTCCAAAAGAAAATGCTGTTATACAGTTTCCAACAAGCAAAACAACAAACCTTTTTCAAGATCACAGGGATTACATTGGAGTCTGGGAAGTGCTTGAAATCTCGTTCCAGCAAAGCTTCAAGTGGTACACCCCAAAATTCCATCCCTGAAGGTCTCCCCTCTGGGGGCAAAGAAACACAAATTGCAGACAAAGAAGTCATAAGGCTATCATGACTCAAGGAAGTACTGAACTTAATATAACATCTCACCTCTGCGATTTTGCCGTTTTAGCTTCTTCCGACGAGAAATTGAAATTCCATGATCTTCAAAGAGCACAGTTTGTTCCAGGAAGGCAAGAGACTGAATTGTGGATTGGTCTTTGAGACCCAGGTCCTCAATATTTGAAGGTGATAGATCTCTCTCGAATTCATGATCAATATTTGATGATCGCTATAACAAAGGAGGGACACGACAACTTTTACCATTGGTTTCTGAATTGGCTTGATTTCTAGAAAATACTTGAAATGGAAGATAAACTCCATACCTTAAGTTTGGGAGTCCTAACTTCAGCAAGAGTAGTTTGGAATCCTTTCACTGGTTCTGATGCTTTCTCTCCATCTTTTACCTTTTTCATTGAGTCACCATGAGCTGACAAGACAGAATCTCTCCGTTTCTTGTACATCAGGGACTCTATGCCTGCAACAAAAAAAGACAAAAGTTTGAATGCCTTCCAAAGAGCATAAGTGCATTTCTAAAAACAAGAATCAATGAAAGTCAGAACCTGTCTCAGTGTTCCAGCATTCCTCAGGAGGTGTGGCCATCCCAGAGTTGCTGAAGAAATTGTATTTCTGACGCCATCCACTGAACAACCGTGCCTTGGGAAAGATGGGTGAATGCAAAGGGGAAGAACTGTGTTCATGAGGACCTGGGGAGGTGGACCTACATACAGTAGTAGCAAAATGCTCACACCCCTTATCACACAAACTCAACTTGACATACAAACAGGTGAACCAATCAATATTAACCTTTTAGGAGTGTCTAGAAGGTCCCGACTAGAATAGAAAGGTGACCAATGGCCATCAAAAGTATCTGCACTGCCTCTGTGGGAGCTTCCACGTGAGTCCTTTCAGAAAGAAATAATTCCTCCATTAATAACAAGTCAAACTTGGTGATGCAAGTAGCACTTGATCATGGAATGAATGTGATTAGCACTTTGGAGACTTATAGGAGAGAGAAAAAAAAAGCCAGATAAATGAAAGAACACACACAAAACCTGCAAAAAGGCAATTAGACAATTCTTCAATCTTTTAATCTTCCAGGGTTTTCATGTTGCATCATTATTAATTCTTGAAATCTCTTTCATATTTTTCTCTACTATCAGACACTGAAGTTCTATGAAACCCATGCAGAGGCCTAATGTCAAAAAATTTTTTTTAGAAGGGTCTCCCGGTGCGTGGAGAAGATTTTCTAGTGATGCACAATTGACCTTATTTCCTCTCAATTCTAATCTGAGGAATCACCTATCACCATCTGATCATCATTCTCTGCTGCTTCAATCACCAGTAGAAATATCATGAGCTAGTGCATGTATCTAGTACTCCAATTCCCAAGCTTGTCTTAATTCCATTCAATAGTTTTTACAGAAGACTACCATTTAACTTTACGAATGTATCACCCTGTATGTAGCACTGAACATGCCCTGTTCTTTTTCTCACTCTGGGTCAGTGCCCAATTCCTTAACAATCTGTTTGATTATTGAAGAATTGTTTGATGTTAAAAAAATACCTGATTACATTTTACTGCAGGGTACATGATGGTGGAAAGCTGCCACTGCACATGTGAACATAGTTATATGGTGCAAGATTCACCAGCAATGCTTGATTAATGGATGCAGTGAGTCCAACATTGAGAAATTCCACTGATAGATAAACTCTTCAGTGATTCTAACTCTACAGGGTGCACAAAATCTTAGCCTCCCCTCTCTTACAGAACTAGGGAAATGGGTTTTACTTCTGAATTAAGAATTAAATTTAATAATTACAATAATTACAAACCTCAGCAGTGCAAGGTCATTGTCATGAAAAAAGTATCATAGTCAATATATCTGAGATACTATTTGGCTGAAAATGCTCCCCTCTCTGCATGAGTCAGAGTATGTCTTGGACATTGACCAAGTGATACTTCTTCATAACCATTGCCCCTGTTTCAAAGCCTTCAGCACCAAGCAACTTCTGAAAAATATAGATGTTCAATTTCTTAACCAACAGAGACTTCACTTGAAAATTCCCCCAAACTCAGTATCTGTGAGAGCACAGGTTCAATACTGAAAGATGGAGTTAAAGATCTGATATTTATAGACCTCTTGGACAGCAGTTTTCCAACAGCTGTGATTGGAACACGTTGCAACAGTTTCCTGAACTTTCAAGGTTGACGCTGACTTGTACCTTAACTTGCTGCAGTCCTACCAATCTCACATTCAAGCTGTCAAGGCTGGTTGGAAATACCGAAATTTAGCCAGTAAATGTAGAAATGAAAACTTGGTTCATTAATAAAAATAAAACCTGTTTTTCTCCACCACCATACAGTTCTGCTCCAGAGGGGGCAGGGGACTAAGCTTCCATGACACCCAGTATGATTCTCTGGTGGATTTTGTATGCTCATCCTAGGGTCTTCTGTTTCCCCCACTCTGACATAATGGTACTTACTTTGGGGTGCTTTAATTCCTCAAAAATCTAAATGGCACGTTAATTTATTCTGTTGCTGATGACAAAGAGAGGAATTATTAAAGGTGTCTTAGATAATCAAACTGGAGTGGCAAAAGCTTGCAATAAAGGTTGGTTGGCAATGTCATGGGAGAGAGACCTCTGTCCTCATGCTTTTGACTGACTCACCTCTGGAGAAAATACTTCCCGGATATCAGGTCGTCGTTTTTGAGTCTTCTTCTTAAGGGTAGCATTGAGAGTGTTCACTCTTTTTTTGACAGCTTCTTGCTGACGAAGTGACAGTGTTGACACAACTTCTTGCACCTATTCACAGCAAAGATAACATTAAACATCTAAATCCTTTTTCATTTAAGAATGCAATAACAATCTCTTAATAAGTCTCCAAATATATATATGGTTGGGAAAAAAACACAGTTGATGTACTTTGTTTCAAGAATGGAGATGTCAGAGTACATACCTCAGCTTCAGATACTTCTTGACCTGAATTATACCTGGTGAGCAATGGGTCCAGCCCAGCATCCATCAACCATTCTGCTTCATCCTCACCTTCTAGAAAGCAGAAATTAAGAGGCCTTGCAAAAATCTTTTTTTTTAAATAAATAATACAGTGAATATTATAGGAAATGATAGGATATGGTAGGAAATTTCACTATAATACACACTTGTTTAAGCTCTAAAACTTATTTCTGTAAGATTTCATAATTAGGAAGAAATATACCTTTCAACTTAACACTACCTTACACTTTTTCATTTGAATCAGGCAAGTTTTGATTAGAATATGAATTATAGATGAAGATGGTAGTTTGGAGTAGCAATGCATGCCTAGAATGTCAGAAAAAGATTAACCCTTTAATGCATTATTTTTTCTTTTTTGGTGGAAAAAATCTGGTAGGTTTCACTCATGTCCTAGAACACAGGTCAAGTGGAAAAAATTAAAAAAAATCAAATTTGTAAGCAGTAGTCCCAAAAATGTTATTGTTGCTCATTTGCCACTAACAGCATTTTCAGCTTTCTAACCCACACTGCATGGATGTTAGAGAGCTCAGTCGGTCTGTCAACATTAGTACATACCTCAACACAAAAGTAAATGTAAAAATACGGTTGAGCCTGGACCCTGGATTACTGAAAAGTTTAAGAAAATTAAATGCAAAATGTCAATCTGCCATACAATGAAGCCAGATTGGTTTTAATTTGCTTGCCACCAGGAGTGTATGGCACCTAGCAACCACATAGTTGTTGCTAGGTATAAGGACCAGACTGTTGCACATCTGCTATGAATAGATTTACCTCAGGAACTTGCTACCCACACATTGTTTATTTGTTACATAGCATATCTGCTATATCATGCATTAAAGGGTTAAACTCAATCAAGAACAATGCAGCAGATTCTACCTTCAGGCACCTGGTCATCTTCCAGTACAGGTAGTGATTCATAGAGGTCTTCAAGTTGCTTCCACCCTTCTTGATATGGACTGTCATCAGTCATGGTAGCCCAAAAAGTTCATAGGTCAAGCTTTGTGATCAAGATCAGGCCTTGAAGTCAGACCTACCAGCATAACTGTCCTGTCTTCATATTCCAATTATCTGCAATATGCAAAGATATGCAACAATGAATAGGCCTAGGCTCAATGCTAGGACTAAGATGATATCAGTGGCTATTTGTATGTCATACATAATATTGTCTAACCACTTAATGCATGTACACCATTCATAAATTACTTGCACAAGCCTAATTTCTACACCACTTAATGCACTATTGCCAGCAGGCAAATAGGACACCTTTGAGCAATATTGTGTAATTGGTTTGCAATTGGTAAAGAGCCCCCACATTTCAGATTTTGCAACCACACAATAAAAAAAAGCACTACTGAAACATCACTCCTAGGCTCCCTACAATATCTTCTCCAAATGACAGGGTAGGTAATCATTCACTACTGCAAGTACTTGATCCACTGATTGACCCTCAAATTTCACATTCAGTTGGTGAGGTTGAAAACCCCCAAAAAATCTAAAATCTCAACATCCTCTGGAGTGGCTAGGTATGTGAAGGCATTTTTCAGGTTATCATGGTGGCTTTGGGAGTAAAAGTAGGATCCAATACATTCAGACTAGAACACATCCATGGTTTAGTCATAAGAGGCTGATACTTACGTAAAAGACTCCTTAAGAAATAAGGATAAATTTTGACTTGAGAGTGACAGATGACAACATGAAGTCAAATGAACATATATCCACTCAAAAAAGAAATGCATTATTGAAATTATGTAGCGAGTATAGTTCAATGAAGTTATGACATGTAGCTATTAATTCAAGTAGGGCAGAGTGAACTTAAGTGTTTGACACCATTCTGCTCTAAAATATGCACAATCTGTAACCGCTTGTGCATAAATTGAAGTTTTTCTTAACAATCTAGTAAAATGCATGTGGATACCATTCTTTCTACGAAACCAATGCAATCTCACATAATGCTGTTTTCAATAAAAGGGCTAGGTTCTGGTCAATGGGTAAGCAGTTGTAATGCAGTACAGCCATCAAGGATGCTGATACTCTCAGAGGCAGATTGCAATAATGCTATTAGGAGATAGGAAGCTGGTGAATCCCAGTCATCAGTTGCAAGATATTTAAACATGCACATGAGTACCGTCTCAAGGTTATGGGACTGGTTCTAGCAACCTGGTTCAACATGTGACAGTACACGCTCTGGGAGATCACACATCACCACACCTGCACAACATCAGTACATTCAACGCAGACATCTGCAGGATCAGTTTGCTACTGCAACCTCTACAGCATCAATAGTGCCTAGAGGGCAGAAAATGTTAGCTCAAACCAACTGTAAACCGCTTGCAGGGAGCAGGTTTGAGATCATGACAGCCACTTTGTAGATTTGTACTGCAATACCAAAATGGGCAACTTTTTTGCAGTGGTGTCACGTGTATGGTATGCTCTCCCAATTGCACTGGAGAACAGTAATATTCAGTGACAAGTCCCAGTTTCTTCTGAGAGGTACTGATGGTTGCACAAGGACTAAGCACTGTCACTGTGTTTCTTTTTTGAGTGAGTATATAAATTTATAAGAAATTATCTCATAGGGCAAGCCAAGGACTAACAAGGGCATCAAGTAATCTCAGTTTCATCATCAAGAGATATACACTGATTGATGCACTTTTTTTTTCATAATAACAATAAATTTAAAAAACTAAAACTAGACTTTCTTGAAGGAAACTGCAAGTGTATATAGCTAAGTATATAATTCCCAGATAGAGGACACAAAAAAAGACAATGTGACTTTCCACATTCATATCTCTGCTCTTATTGAAGCCATTGATATAAAGTATGCACTGTGCATAGATTGATATGTTTCCAACAAGCATTTAAATTTAATTCAAATTTGTTCCTTCAAAGTATGGTAGGGTTACCAAATGTTTTTCAGGAAAAACTGGAGAAAATGCCAGAATGTCAATGCCTGCCATGGGAAAAAACTGGCACACCAGGATGGAAAGGAAAATTCAAACTGGGACTGTCCTGGTGAAACTGGGATGTCTGGTCACCCTAAATTATGGCAATCAGCAAATATGCAAAAGCAAATGGAAACTTATGTATCATGGAGGCTTTCAGTCCTTGCAAAAACACCTAGACTCTATCTGCTCCCTCTTTCAACATAAACCATGGGAAAATCTGAAGAAGCTAGATGTTAGAGCAAACTCTGTTTTTATATCTAGTGGATCATTTTTTATTATTTGACATAAAAAATACTTATCCAAACCATCCATAAAGGTTTATTGGAAAGATGCAGTTAACGAAGCCATTCTGAATATGATCTTCTAGATCATATTCAGAATGGCTTCGTTAACGCAACGAGATACGCAACGAGAGTACGAAGCAATTTCCTGTGCTATGCTAATAGCACCTGCTCCTTTCCATTTCAACTTATTTTGAACAGCTACACAGAGCTTTTCCTCAGCGCAAGGAATTTGAATGAAGTTTTAAAATTTTCTTGGGAAAATATCAGCCGATGTGTAGTAAATGTTTACTGAAACAGAAAATTAAGTCTGAATGAAATAAAAATATTGATTGCACCAAGGCGTTCGTATGGTTCAAGCCTATGAGCAGAATTAAAAGCTGGGGGGGGTGTCGGTGGAGTTTTTATTTACAGAACCATGTATGGCAGATAAGGATTTAAAGCCGTAGTAACGGTCAGTCAAAATCAGAAAGGGAACCAAGGAAGGCAATATCCGGAGGTTAGGAAATCGGAGAGATAGCTGAGAGAACTCAACAGGCCTCAAGGCCGCCATATTTGTTTTACCTGTTACCTCATGCCATCTATTGGTTGGAAGGTTGCCGTTAAACATTTTTAGCACTGGATATGAAAGAATTCTGCATTTTAGCGCTGGCTATAGGGGCTGTGGTTCTCTCTTTCGCGGAAGAGAACCTCGTTCCGCTAGCCCCACAGCTCTTGCTGCACAACAAGGAAGGTACAATCAAACCCGCGAATTTCCTTCGAAGGGGAACCGTTCTCCAATACCCCCCAGTCAGGTCCGAATACAGTTCCCTAACTAAAAAATTACGTAATACCTTCAAACACTCTGTATATCTGGCCTTGAACCGTAGTTGTAGCAGCTGCTTATAGTTAGTCATGAATGCACATTCTCTGAATGATGAAGAGAAGTAATATTACTTCAAATGAAATCATAGTCAGGTTTCAAATAAAAACCATCAACATTTTACTAGAAGTGTTTGCTGGTTTCACGCTTAGGATACATACAATGCAAACCTTCACATTCTGATTTTTTATGTGGAAAACGAAACCCATTCATTGTTCGTAAGAATGACAGTACTGCGACCCTTGAAAATTCGCCATCAAACACTTCTAGCCTTGGCAGCCGTGATTGTTTTCGTATTGGCGATGGCGACTCGCAGAGGCCTTTGTGATTAAGCACAATCAAGCTGTTGTTTTTTTTGGTGAGCTTAAGCTAGGCCTGGAACAAACTCAACACGAAATTACTTTAAAGGTTAAGTCCACTGTTGGTTTTGGTTATGGTAGTCTTTCGGATCTAGAATTTTAAAGTCTAAAACTGTCTAACGTAGCCCCGACTAAATTTTCGACCGTTGAAACGAATGTCATTTGGTCTGTTAGGAAATGTTAGAAAAGTGGAACGGGCCAAGATAGGCCTGGACTCGTTCATACGAACTTTGGACCCATGTACTGTCAATGCATCTTTCATGGAAGCCTTTCATATTTCGTTTGTTCCCTTTCTGTGAATTGCTCATCTTGCACATAAGGTACTTTGAAACCTACTCTGTGGTATTTTGCGGAACCAATCATGTCAATTTGCTTAATTGATATTCACATTAATCCATTAATCATCCATGTCCCCTAGGACACATCCAATCTGTGTCCTCTTTGATGGTTGATTTTATAAGTATTATTAAGTGATTAATAGCAATTCTCAATATTGGTCTTGTTGATGTTCGTGCTTCATTTCAGTTTACTAGGCTTGGAGTGCCAGTTGGTCATGGCCATTAATGGATTCATTGGCACATGACTTGAGAAATGATTAGATGACAGATCTGATCTACCAGTTTGCCTCTTCCCTATGGGATGGAAGCAGATGACATATTTACCTGATGGGATGCCTTTCTGTGAGATGTTACTTCCTTACTTGTTGTGCCCTACAGTTGGTGAGCCTTATTCTTTGTCAGTCAATTGTCAAGTTGCATCTCATGGTGCCTGGTAAGTCTATAGTTCTTCTCTCCCCTTTTAGGTTTCAACTGCTGAGCGACAAGTATTTGATCTCCTTGGCTACTTATGGTTACCAATTCTTCTCAATTTTGTTCACATCCTATTCACCATCATTGGGATTTTTGGTGGTTATCAGGCTCGTTGGAAATACGTAGTTTCCGTAAGTTGGCTAAGAATACTAACTGCAATATTGGCCAGAGAAAGTTCTGTAGGGTAAAGTTATAAGTTCTGACAGTACCAAATTTCAAACACCATTAAATAAATTTTTAGAAAACAAAGCATTTGTGAGGACTCCCTCAGAAATAGCTCTTCCAAGCTGTGAAGAACTCTTTCTGAGGGAGAGCTCACCAATAATTGGCTTTATAACGACGTACATGATGGTGCCAGAACTTCTATGGTTTTACCCTACCAGTTCCAAAACTGATGAATATTTCTTTAATCTCCCTTTTTTTTATTGAGAATATCCTCTTTTCTAGTGTGCATCATGGAATGCCTTCTGGATAGGGTGGAACATATTTCTGATCTGCCTTTATCTTCGAGTTGGTGTCCTACAAGATGTAAGTTTGTTATTTACTGTCATCTTCTGCCCCTAATTGCATTGGTGACTTCCTCTGTTGTTCTTTCAATTGCAAATTTTTTCTCATCAATGTTGTTTTTCTTGCTGCAGGATCTGGATATTCTGAGTTTAGGAACTGGGAGTTACAGTTGGTGGGAGGCCAATGGTCCAGGCTGTATGCCACATTACTCAACAAATCAAACTTTGGCCAGCCCATATGCTCCTCCCAGACCAGTGAGGGTTGAAAACTGTATCCTTGGCCACAGGACAATAGAGGCCACTCATGCTGGCATTCAGATTGCTTTTTCTGTATGTTTCTGCATGTGATTTTAACAGACTGTTCTTGTTTTATTTTGAACTCCACTTATACATGGTTTCTGCTCTTGATGCTTTCCAGTTGCTACTGCTGCCTGCTGCTTTGTACCTGATGCGGGTGAAGGTTCCTGAAGATGACCAGTGTAAGTGACATGTTTTTTCAAATAAATCAGTGAAATTAACAAAATTCAGGAAGATCAGAGAGTCCATTTTGAAATCTGTTACAGCTGGAGGGAAGAGTCGAACAACGTCTCTATACTCGATTGAACTGGTGCCAGACCCTCCTTTCCCACAGAGAACAATGACACCTCGCCGTGTGAAACGTCGATCCCTGACCCGTTCCTCAGGGCGAAGTTCGACCCGATCTCGTCAGTCGACCTTAAACCGAGCATCATACCTGGCCAGTCGGCATCTCCCATCATATGATCCAAGTGCATTAGACTCATCAACTTCAAACGATGAAGCATATCGACATCTCCCTCCGCCACCACCACGGTTGATTCAAGGTCATATTAACCCGACCTATGCAGGGTCGAGACCCAGTTCAGTGGCATCTAGTAGTGTGATGAACGGACTGAATACAACAGCTGAATGGGCACCTGGCATTGATCTCCTTATGCGGCCTAAGTCTGCCCAAAGTTCCTACTCGAACTTTCACGGTCAACGCCCAGCCATTCCGGCTTCAACCATGAGGCCAACGCGAACTAGCACTCCTGAGTGGCCAGCACCACCTCCTCCTCACCAGTTAGTACAGGGTCAAGGCCGTTCCTACCACCCAGGCCTTAATTCTGAAACTGTCATTTGAAGTGGATGAGCAGGGTGATCCTTTGTGAACCTCTATGACCTATTCTCTCTTCTGAATGACAGAGTGGCTGAGACCAACCTTTTCAATTCATTCATTCATTTGCCCTTTTCCCTCCTGAGAATCTCCTATTCAGCTTTTCTAGCAAGTACAAGACCCAGCTGAATGTGATCTTGGCCATATTGTATGCATTTCCTAATCAGGTAGTATTTTTATTTGCCCTCATGTATCACATTGTATGTCTATCTAGAATTTTGCTCATTGCTTTTCTCAAATATACTCAAGGTCATGCAGAGGTCTTTCAGTAAATGCATGGTGCCTAATTTAGTGCCTTTAACAGGTAACTCATGAATCAGCATCATTGATATTATCTCATTTTTCTTTGCCCCTTTTATTTCAACCAGTTTTCCTCTTTTTTTTGTAGGATAATTTTTTGCAGGTGATTTCCCATTGTGAGAAGAGTTTTACACTCCCCTTTCCTCATTCATTCCTGATCCAATTCTTATTAGCTATATTGTTGCCAGAATCTCTACAGCCATTTGCAATTGTGGGAGTGATACCTCATTATATTTTGAGGTTTGTTTTCATATGGTATGCCACCCATACTCATGGTCTTGAAGAGTGATTGCCTTCAAATTACAGACACTTGTTTTCCTTTTCCAGATCCTTATTCCCTTTTGTTTTTGAGTGAAAGTAGTTGCTTTGACTTTGGAAACCTATCTCACAATTACTCTTCTTGATAAGGTTTAATCCCACAATGATTGAACTTTCTCATCAATACTTTTTGAGAAAGGGTTTGTTTTTTAATCTGGCAAGAGTGGCAAGTGACCTTGGATGATAGAAACATACACCGTCCCTACCTGAGAAGTGATAGAAGTTGACGTATCATGTTTGTTTTTCGTATAGCAAGCAAGTCAGCTTGGAGCATATTTATTTTGAATTCTGTGAGTGCCTCTGTGTAGAATAAATCATGCCATGAAACGTGTGCTTTTTAAAAATCATTTTATCACTGAAACAATCAATCTCAATGAGCCTGGCCAGTCGAAATCTGGAAGCTTTCTCTCTCAGGTGTCAACCCACCAAATTCTTTCAGACTCACCTGTGAAAGGTGGTCTTTAAGTTCATGAGAGATTGATGCGTATTTCGCTTTACTCTTTGATGTGACTCTCAGAATGTACACATCAATGCCATGAGAAGGAAGATGCACAGGTAGACTCATTGTCTCAAACTTTTATCTGGGACAACAATATATCAATCTGGTATTCTTATTTGACCGTACAATGTATATGTCAGACATGTAAGAATGGATGATGAATACAGCTATGTCTATGACGCCTGGAATAAATGCACAGATTTGAGCCCAGCTCTTCTTTGCCTTATTGAAACATCTTTATTAAAATGTCCGTTTCTCTTGCCAAGGTACAATGTGATCGTCATGTACTGATAAATATTACACTGTTAGTTGTAATTGTGTAATAACTATTTTAAAAACAGAATGGATATTGAAGACCTTTATGGAGACTCAAGGAGAATTGATCAGAAGCCTCCGATAACCAATTTAACACCGGACAGTGAAATGGAATAGAAGCAGATCTAGTGGTGACTTTCAGCTGTACAAGGAGGCAATGTAATTAGCTCTACATTGTACATGCCCCTAAAAAAAAAAAAAACAAGAAGTGTAGTAGTCTAATGTTCTTTCCGATACGTCTTTAAGTCATTTCAGTTTCTTTCCTAGACGTTCCTGTGCTCAGTAGCATCTCTGATCTTCCACGTTGGCTGTTGAGCAGCTCCCTTAATTTCCTTGCGCAAGACGTAACATAAATGATTGATATGGCACATCTCTCCTGCGAGAGTGTTTGAGGTATGACTAGTGACCTTGTGTGGCTAGCTACTTCGACCACCCCTACCCCAAGGCATACATATACAATACATATACATTAGCGTTCAGCCGGTCGTTAGACTGTTTACGTTTGGCGGACCTAGAAGTGCAAAACAAATGGGTTGAACCGGGTAATTGTGAACTTCGGACAATTGTGAACACGCAGCGGTTTTCACGGAGAAGAAAACTTGCACAATAATTGTATATTCTGTTGATCAGATTCATTTCGTAGAATATATAAATAAAATCTGCCGCTCGGCAGTAACTCGGTGACCTGTGGACCATGACTTGTTTGGACTCCCCTAATATAATCAATATCATTTTACCATTTTAGATTGTGCGTATTTGTATTGCCTGAACCTTTTTTTTTTAAGTCAAATAACCGGGTAGAGTAAATCGACTCATTTTGCAAGAGTATTGCTGGAACAGTAGCGTACAGTGGGGCGGAAGGCTACACCCGGATACCCTCGCCATCGACCGTGAAAGCTTCGAGTCTCGGTCGGGCCCTGTCCGGTAATATTCACACGAGCTGGGACGTAGCAAGGGCAGTCGATCTACAAATCCGTGCATGCTTTTCTTAGGGGCGAGGAAGTGAGAGCAAAACAAAGGTGCTCGTGCTCATCGATGCTCCGATCGAGACCGGTCAGGCCTCCCCAAAAATGCTCTTCAGTTACGGTGAAAGAGATGAAGACAGGGGAGGGGGACGAGTTGCACCGCGATTCTTGGCCAGCAAGGCTTCAACTTTCGGTTTACTGTCACTCTCTCTCTCTCTCTCTCTCTCTACTCGCCCTATTGATTGCTCTCATTGATCTGACAGGACATGGAAAGCTAATGAGACAAAGGCTTGGGTGGTGGTACAGCTGAGATGGGTGTGGCGAGGGCCCACCAGGGAGGGGTTTGCACGCCACGCCGCAGCAAATTCGCACTTCGTGATAACACGTCTGTTGTGTGTTCACGATTGCCCAGCACATCAGCACATCTATATGAATTAAACGATTTCGAATGGGAAAGAAGGCAATCCGAAACGAGAGATGTTTCATGCGGTTTGTCTCTTACTCGAGGCACGGGGGAGGGGGGAGGGGGTGAAGGGATCACGAAAATCTTTCAATCGAAATGAATAACATTTTAATATAGGTAGATGGTTGCAATGACTCTTTCCGGAATGAAAAACTCCCTCAAAATCTCTTAAAATCACACGACTCTTTCCAGGTGCTGCCTGTCATATTAACTATTCATCCGAATGCAGTTAGGTTAGCTCGGGAGCTTGACGTGCATGTGCCGTGACTCCAGCGACAGTAAATTAACCCATTCGTATCCATCTGTTTAATTCAAATGCATTAGGTCACCAGCCACTTTTTCGAGGCCAGCTTAAAAAATATAACTCGAGCATCATTTAGGCTACGATGAAAAAAATCGCAGGTCATCGCACTAAGTCGTACGTCAGAGGTGATATCGCTCGTGAGAATACGTGCGTAACAGTGCGTATTTGACTTCGGATGCGAAAGAGTTAGCACCTGCAATGGTCTGTGACTTCGAACTGAACCCAACGGAAGCACGCAGCCGGTGTAAGGCCCGGCTCGACCGGGAATCCCCTCGATGCCTCGTCTGACAAACGAGCCATTCTCCGGGGCCAGCGTAATCACCTCCGACTTTTTCCTCTGGGATCGCGATCGGATTCGAGCCTCCCCTTTCCTCTCGCGAAAAACTCCTCCACGACGAAGATGCAGTTTCTAAGGGTGAGATTAGTGGTCCTCGGTCTGTGCGCCGCGGCACCCAGAGATGCCCCAACGGACCCACAAGAGCGCCGTGGATCTTCCCGGCTTTTTTTTTTTCCCCTCTCGACCCGTCCCCACGGAGGGCAAGAAGGCCAGGAGGCAAGAAGGCCAGGAGGCAAGAAGGCCAGGAGGCAAGAATGCTCCCAGTGCAAGCGAAGGGCATTTCCTCGATTGGACTGGAAAACTCGGATGAAGAACCGCCTTTCGACTCTCAATTCTGACTTGAGCCAGCTCTTCGATGTTGTGTGCCAGGAGTACAAAATATTTTCTAGTTTGGATGGAAAAATAAATGACTCATCGACTCATATTGACTCTCGCATTCCCGGTAAACAATTTCATCCAGAGACTGTTTCTCACAGAACAATACGATGAATAATGTTGCTGCGAAGAAGATCCTGATTGCTTTTACCGCCGCGCATGCATGCCCACCTCCTCCTATTCATCGTAAATATTTTATGTACGATATGTATCGTATATACGTAGTACAGGGTTGGCCAAAAAAAGTAAGCCACTTTTAATTTTGCTTCAAAATCCACATTTTCGAATGGATAGACTCAGAAAGTTAAAAAGTGAACGTTGTCGAATATGTTCTTGAAGATTCCGAGCGAAACGAACGAGTGTTGCGAGGCGAAAATCCACATTTGCACGGGAATGCCTGGGAATTTCTGCACGTGCATGAGATTTTTAGATAGCGGAAAAGCACACAAATCTGGCAAATTTGACATTTGATCTGTCCAATGAAGCAGATTTTTTTTTCAAAGCGGAGATCAACCGTGGACTCGCGTCTGTTCGCTCGGAATTTAAACAGATTTTTGACAAAATCGTTCATAATTCAAGAGCGGGCAGTCAGAGAAAGTTTTTCGGCAAAAAAAAAAAAAAACAAAACAAAACAAAAAAAAAAAAAAAACAAAAAACAAAATAAGGAAATGCAAGAGAGCGAGATCCCAAGGGTACAGTTCGACTCATCGCCTTCGTGGAATGAAATAACCATTGGACCCCTCCCTTCTCAGAACCAAAAAAAAAAGAAGAGGATAACCGCGGTGAAAGGAGGCTAATCGCGGTCTCACCAGGCCCGATGTGAACCACTCACGCATGGCCGCTATTGACCCAACGCTCCTATAACGACCTGAAATCATTAATACGGCAGCGGATCGCAACGGACAACCCTCGTGTCCACAATAGACCCAAAGGAAGGTCCAATCCTCAACGTATTTTCGGGCATAAAAAAAATGACCCAGAAACCATACAATTCTATTCTATTACCCCGCGCGAGAGAAGCCAAAAGTCGATCCAGTTCTCCGTTACAGTCATTATTTTCGGCACATCGTTCCCAAGAACCCCCGCGAGTCGACTACGTCGACTCTTTCCCTCGGACGACCGACCGGACGACCGACCGGACGACCGGCCCTGGTCATCCTTCGATGTCTCGAAAGCGAGGAGTCCGAATTCGAATCGAAAGGTCTCTGCTCTTACTGCTGGTCTTCTCGCGGAACTCGGACCACGCCGGCATGGTTACGCGGGGCTTGTGAAATTTGCACGAAATTCCTAAAACCAAGCAAGGCTACGAGCAATAACCAAACTAAGTTGAATGACTAACATGGACAAATCCCGCTCTGGAAGCTGAAGGAAGAAGAAAGAAGGGAGAAGGAAGAAGGAGCCATCGTGCTGTAGGCGCCAGGGCCGGATTAAGGGGGGGGCTAAGGGGGCTATTGCCCCGGCCCCCCCCCCCCCCCGAAGGAAATTAAAAAAGTTAAATATT